CTGAAAGAGAATCTGCTGAAGGTGACAATCAGGTTGTGGTCGATGATTTGGAAGAAGAGAAATTTACATTGATCGAATCAGTGATTTCTAACCCTGCCCCACCATCTGGTTCTGAAAAAGAGAAGAAAAAAAATGATAATTTAACAAACGCTGCTACATCTCGCAAAATTCATGAAAAAGTTGCAGAACATGTGGCTAGTGTTGACGCGGGTGCTGCGATAGAAAATATTAATCCAGCAGTGATTGAATCGAAGATTATTTTACAAGGTTTATCATCAACAATCGTCGATGGAAAGAATATCGCAGACAGTAAACCAATTGTAGTTAGTCCAGTTCAATCGCAGATAGAATGCTCAGAATCAGTGGGCAACGTTGAAGTTACCAAGCAAATTAATGATGTAAAATTGGAATCAGACTTTGCAACTGGATCAAATGAAATATCATCAAAGGGAGCTGCGATGGCTGATAACGCACAGAAATCCATCGATACTAAAATAGAAAAAATCGCAGAAGTCAAGTAGATGAGCGAAAATTGAGTTGGTTAGTTTCAATAAAGACAATATAACATAATCAAAACTTATGAACGTTCCTTTTTTTTAAAATATGACCTGTTTTTCCTACCAATAACAAAAAGAAATACTGTGAAATTGATTTGCTAGAAATAAAGATTTTTTTGATTTATGATTTAAACTTATTTCGTGGATTTTCGTCTAGCGCGAACTGAGCAATGTATCAAATGCTGGTCGTCGTGGAAATTAAAAAGAAGAAAAAATTCTTTTGGAACGTATTTGAAGCGATATTCCTATCAACATGACACAAAGTAATATATGAGTTAATTTTTGTATACAACTCATTAAGATTGCAATAATGTTTCAGACTATCAGCACATATTATAACCAGGGTTGCCACCTCTTCCGCTTTTTTCCGCTTTTTCATATAAAAGACTTCTGTTGTTTAATTGAAAACTTAACCATGCAAGAAACTAGATAACGTGACGTTAGACGAAAATTTCTTGGAAAATAATTTTCTAACGTATAATTCTATACAACTCTTGAAAAATTTTCGCTTCACATGATAGATTTTTCAATAAATTTTTCTATTGAAACACATGTCGTGTTTATTTTGGCCTCCACTATGAAATACATTCCCCTGGATTTGAAATGCCAGTGAAGAAAAGAAAATTTCTTTCAAGTTCTTATTCATTTGTTAATATAATAGATGAAAGCATAGCCACATTCGACAGCTGAATGTAAAGAACAACATTATCCTCTTAGACTTGTAAAAAGCGAGCTTTATTTTTTGGATTGCACGTTTTTCGGGTCAATGTTTTAATTTGTGCCAAAAAAGAACCGCCTTCGGTGGTATATTCTCTGCGAAAAATAGTGAACTGACAGTCGCAATACGGCCATTTCACTGTCACAAAACGAACATTTTTTGGGACGATACAAACATTTTCCCTGTATGGCACTTTTAGAAAAGATGAGTAGAAAAAGAATTGACAGAAAATATATATTTATTTTTGGACCGGAAATCGTTTATCTTTTCTTCTTGGAGTTTCAGGCCAGGTACGCCCTGATATTTTTTATGAGTTGTCTATTATGTTGTGGAACTGCGAACAAAGTAGTACTATGAGCAATAAAACAAGGTTACTTAAACTCTTGGAAATGTGAAAGGTCAGCAAAAAGCAGCTTTCCGTTTTTTTTTCCGTTATTTCCCGCTCTTTTTGATCAAACTTTCCGCTTTTCTGACCTGATGAGGTGGCAACCCTGATTATAACCCATGTCGTCGAAGCGCCTAAGTTTTGATGATGCATCGCGATTTTGATAAATGTTAACGATTAATTGCGATTGATCGACAATTTTTTGAGTAACACCGATCTATTAAGATTAATCACCGATTTTTCAAGTAATATAAATGTATTGCGATTAATCGTCGATTTCTTAAGTGGTGCAGATGTATCGCCATTAAATCGTTGACTATTTTGAAATTTGTGATTGGTCGAAACTAACTGCGAATATTAAGATATTTTCACCAAAAACATATTTTTAAGTTTTATAGCATACTAGAAGACAATTATCTAACTCATTGATTCTTGATTTATTAGCTTAGATAAACAAAATGATGAACTTGTTAATTTCTTCTTGTTTAGTCGAACTGTATCATATTAAATTACGTAATCTATTACAATGATTGGCTTATATCACCAATCGTTGATTAGTTTCAACAGAGATTTGTATTGCTTCCTATACAAATGAAGATTGGTTTTCGATCGTTATAATTACATAGGCAGCTTCTTTCAGTCATCCCAACTAATTGAAGAATATTTTAAAACATTCGTGTAATCAGTTAACAGAGAAGACAAGTATTCTCAGCTTTTTCCCCTTCTCTTTCATATAAATTTTCACTTCAGGAGAAACCTTTTTTCGTCCGTAGAAATTTATTGATTACTCTTCTGTTGTAATTTACTCTATATTAAAAACCAGATACAAAAACAAATCACATCGGTTGAATTAGATCCGATTTGGTCTGATTGCGTTCGAAAAGGGGTAGCTGTGGAAAATGTTTCGAGAGTGAAAGTCAGTCTTTTATCATCCACACCTATCCTTACGTTATTTTTTTCATTTATTTCGTTTTTAAGTTACTCATGTAAACGCCATAGTCAATAGATCCAGTATATTATTAAAAACATCTATTTTAATAAAGTAATGAAACGTATCTTCGTTTTAAAAATAACTAGGAGATGTCAATTTCTTCTCATGTTTTAATTTGTTAAATATAGAATATAAAAAATATTCATGTTTAAAGATGGATATAAATCACATTTATTTTGTTTTAAGTTAAATAATTTTGTGATAATACGTATTTTAATGAAATTCAGTTAGAAATATTTTTTATATAAATTAAATATGAATTGCTATCATTCAAATTTGCTTTTACATGCAAATTATCAAAATAAATAGTTTATATTTATTTTAAAGTTACAGGAAAATTACATCCCTAGTTTTTATTCTCAGTAGCATTTTCGTGGTTGTAACAAAGTTTGTTGAATACACTTAAAGAATTCAACAATCTCATATATACGTAAGTATAGTACAGTTGTATATTTCATGATTCCAAAATACAAGTTCATGTGGTGGAATCTGCTCTACGACAATAAAAAAAACGAGTTGGTACGCACTTACGTTAGTAAGATCAAGACATTATCAGTCGCTCTCAGGAAACTCAAGCGGATAAGGAAGATACGCGTTCTGTAGATATCAAAAGTCTTGAAAACACTTACTTTTTGTACCTTTTTTCATGAGAAATCTAAGTTGATTACGCAACCGTAAATTAGCCTCAAACTCTCTTAAAAATTGAAAACAAAATCGGCAATTTGAACGATTATATCGCGATAAGATCTCACGATACGTCGCCCTAATATCCCGCGATATAATCATCGATTTTTTTAGCGATTTTGAGGACATGGGAATAATCTCATATAGCAGAACATTATGACATCTGATAAAACTGTTTTGTACATTTATAATTGATCTAATAGTGAGTTATACAGTTGTAAGCCAAATTTTCCTTATTTGAAGTGGCATTCCAGTTTCACGACTCGAAGTATCCGAACAAAATATGTATATTCTAAGACTTGTTGATATCTTACATAATTGAGATTTTGGTTATTCTTAAACATATTAGATATTCTCACAAGAAAAAAGTCGAGGAAGGCAATCCTCCACCTGAATCCTGACGCTGTTTTCAGTATACTCTGATTTGATGTGACTGTAGCAAAGAAAAACAGGTTGGTTTATAATCCCGATTTGTTTGTGATAGTTGCGATCCTTAATTACATAGAGCATTCAATAACTATTCTGCCCATGAAGCAGGAACACTACTCCATTCAAAAGATGAAGATTTTCTCTAAGCTAATATAGACCGCATTGTAATCGGATGACCACCGAAAACAAGTATCGTATTGAAATACAAATTACGCAATCCAAGTTGGTAAGAAATTAAATAATAAAGTTACTCCAACGAAAAACTTTTTCTCACTTATATTCGGTATTGTGAAAAATTAGAATAGTTAAGATCCAATGGTTCATTTATCATGATTGACTAATAGAGTTACTACATTTCAAGGCACCTACAGAGACCATAGATTTGAAGAGTGAGCTAAACGAAAAGTATAGAATATAAAATAGAAGTCAATAAATCAGATGGAGACATGGAAAATATCTAGTTAGTCAAGTCCATTGATAATATAAAGATGGTAAGACATAATACAAAAGTCTATGGAATTCTCGAAACGATGACTTTATGAGTGTTTGTATTCACATACTCTTGTCTATCATTTAGAATAATACTTTTCGAAGAATTATATTAATGATGAAGAAAAATAAGAAATGGTGCATGAAATATAAAATCAGAATTCTATATACGATGAACAAAATGCACAGAAGGGAATGAAATAAATACCGTATGTGATATTCAACTGTGACAGAAAAGATGAAAATCACTATACAGAGAAACTATCTTCTCCAGTTTTTTGTGTGTAACACAAGAACATGCATATATGTCAAACTTCTTGAAACTTGAATTCAATTGAAAATTGAAATTTCTAATTTTCAACTTTTAAACCAATAGCATTCTGAAAAATTGTGGCTCACACATATATCGCTATGAGTTGAAAGTTAAAAATTGAAATTTTCTATTTTCAACTGAATTCAAGTTTCAACTTTGACACTACTGGGAATCCCATGGGAATCCAATGAAAGTCCCAGGAATATTTAATTTAGATGTCTGAAAAATACTAGAGGGTGTGGATGTATGTCGTAGTCATCGGTTCACCCACACCCAATCTTTAATGAATCATTACGACGTATCAAAGATGCATCGTTCTTGCCTGTAATAGAGAAACCTAATATAGAGTATAATGTACAGTTTAAAAAAAAATGTCTTGAATCACAAAAATAAAGCGCGACATCACGTCAATATTTTCATATTTTGTTTATAAAATGACTGAAATTGAAAACTATTATAGTACAGATACATTGATTATTTTTGTGATACGTAATAGCTTTGCACGTATTATGATGTCTAGTTTACTTGTAGTTTGCTATGCGCGAACTATGTGTGAAAAACAACAGCTATGGGTCTTACCCAAATTTTGCTATATTGGTCTAGTGTTTCTTATTCTTGATTGGTGGATTATTCTATTAAAAGTTAATATTCATAGAAAATTAGTAGAATACTTTTGGATCAATACTGGTGTAGCAATATTTATCATATGTGAGTTATTAGAAGAAAAGAATTCGAGAAATCCTTATAACGTATAGTTTTAGTCACAATGCCGCCATTATGGATTTCACGTTATGGTTATTTTATACAATCTGTTAAAAATTTGAAAGTTCAAGCAAAACATGCAAATACTAATTTAGAATCTTATGTTAGTGAATGTTGGGATTTAAAAGAGAAAAAAGAACTTGATTTTATAGAATTTCGACGCACTGAATCACTTGAACAAGCACTATCAACCATTAACAAGAATATTAGTGAATGTAATCAAAAAGATGAAATGAATGCTGGTAGTTGGTGTTCTTACGGTATATGTTTAATGAAACAAATGCCTGATGAAATGTTAGAACAAGTTGTTGTACTAAGTACTATTTGTGTGCGTTGGTGAGATAGATAGATAATTGAACGATTCCAAAAAGAAAAATAAAGTTTATTTGAAGGATGATTACAGGTAACTTAGGTCTTGATCAACTTATTACTTATTTTATTTCAACAGCTTCAGATATTGTCGAGTAAATTTTACAGGAGTTAAAAATTTCAATTTTTTTATTTGAAGAAAAAACTATATGTAGTTTTGCGTCGACTATGGTTGGACAAAGTGAAGAACTAATTCAAGATAAAAATAAAGATATCATGAAAGCTATCATTGGTATGTTTGAAAAAACAATATCTTCCTTCAAGATTTCATTCTATGAGACATTATCTATTAAATCTTGAATCGTATATCTTTGTTACGATAATTAATCTCGTATTATAAGATTAAAATAAAAAAGTGCTCATGAGAATTCAATCTCTGTGCTAATTCAAAGATTGGATAGTCGTATGAAATTTCATTGATTTGATCGTTTAGCGTTCGTCGTATCAAAGATATTTCAAGGAATTTTTATGTATCAGAGTTGTAAATTCTTAAATTTGACAGTTCGTTTGAAATCGAAAATTTATAATCGTATAAGCAATGACCCCGGATTTCATGATATTCTTCGCTTTGTCTTTATACTAAACTCTCTGTTGAAATATTAGTAGTTTTGTTTTTAAATAATAATTTTTTCTAGCTGCTTATTTCATATCTCTTTCGCAATTCAGTGTTAATCTATCCGGTAAACGAAAACATAATCATGCGTATGATTTAATAGTTTGGTCGAAGGCAAAAATTCGAGAACGACTCCTTATTATAATAGATTTATTGTGTAGTACAGAAATATGGGGTATTCTTGCACAAATGGCTACTGAAGATGGTCTTTTACTTGGTTTACGTATTTTGACTGTAATTAAATTTAATGCAAGCACACTTGAAAATTTCTTCTTTGTTGTGAAAAATATTCTTACTATTGGCATTTTTACTTATTATGCAGCAGCAATATCAGATTCCTATATTCAGCATCGTTATTTTTATCAACATTATTTCCGAAAACAATCTCAACAAAATGATCAAAAATTAGCATCTAAAAGATTAATAAAGAGGAACAGCATTCTGAAAGGATCTCAATCTGTTAAAAACGAATCAATCAATTTGATATAAATACTGTTATCTATGCATCGCATACGTACTGATTTCATCCAAATCATTATAAAAGTATTTGTCGAATTCGAGTTTTAATAATTCTCCTTTTTTCAACAAAATAAAAGTCCCTGCTAAGTTTGTAAATCTTATTTACAAACTATTGGAAATGAAATAAGAATGTGGAATAAAGCTCGCGTAAACTGTTCAGTAGTGTATTCAGTTTTAGTTTTTTCCATTTTCAACGGTTGTAAATCCAAAGCTTCTCAGTCGAATTCAATAAAAATATTAGCGATCGTAGATTCACATCATTTTTTTCAACTTATGTTAAACCGCTTAGTTTTCTCAAACATCTTTGAACTTAAGATGATGCCAATAAAAATTCTAGTTCATTTATCAAAATATTCTAAAATATTAGACGGACCAGTATCGTCAATTCAGATGTATGCAACTCGAGAGGTAAATGACCAAACTCCTTCATAAATTATTCACGTGCTTTGTTCTCAATAGATCTGTTCGATTGATAGTTATGAAAGTATTTTATAGAACCGAAAAAAATAATGTTTTTGATCGAAATACTATTATTGGTGATTTTGCATTCGTTCAATGACTAATTGTAATTCATTATATGATGACTATTTCTTCTGTTCTCATTTTATTTTCAACTAAATATCGAAGAACAAATAATAGTTTTATTAAATAAATGAAAATTCTTTAGAAAATAAAATTTTTGTTGCCGAGAAAATTGATGGAAAATAAGAGAAAAGAGAAAATGACATGTTCAATTACTGGAAGCGTTTCATTCATTGGTGTTACTTTATAAAGTAAAAAGTGTCCAAGAACAAAAACGTTTCCTATAACAGTTGTTCAACGGGAATCATCGAGCATCACAGATGTTATATATTCAACAATATCAACATCATCGCCAAGATTTTTTAAGACAATATCAACGTCGCCATACATTAGCCCATCAAAACTTTTCACTTTGTAGTAATGAATATAATGAAAAGTTTCCAAAAATATCTCGACCAAAAACTTCAAGTATTTCTTATTCACATAATAAAACATTTGTTTTTCTATCTGGAATAGCATCATTAGAAATGGTTAGTAAAACACAATTTTATTTTCCAGCACAATAGATACTTTATGACAAGTGTTGTTTTTCGTTCTTCGCTTTGTTTATATAGTTGTAAAAAGGTGAGCATTTGATTTGGTTAACAACGAGGTCAGAATAGACCATCTAACAAAACATGCACGTGTTACAATGCAAAGAGAAAAGAAAATTCAAAAGCGAATGTAATAAAACATTGTTTTGCCAGAGGAGTCGGTCCTGTTTATTTAACAGAACGAACAGCCTATCACGACGAACATTAAGCCATTGAAAAGTGACTAAAAACATATTTGATAGACAAATAGTTCACATGTATTTCTCTATGAGTGAGTAGCAGAAACATCCCTTTTTTAACTCCTGCTGAGCCTGCAATTAATATTCAATAGAAATCTCTTTGGTCTTACTGTTCGAGTAATGTTGATATGAGTTATAAGATGGAGCATATATATTGTTTGTTTCAATATTGCTGTTATACAGTAGGCATCATTTTGTTTTACGTGTTTCTTCTTCTGTTTAGAAATCCACGACTGAGAACCGACAAAAAACAGGCTTAACAAGAGAAAATAAAGATTCAATGAAAACTGTAAGTCTAAATCATCATCGTGTGTTCATGATGAATCAATAAGATATTTCGTCGGTTGATTTTTTTCTTAAAACAAGATGAATACGTCTATGACATTAAAAGCGTTTTATTCTGACCGAATGAATTCTTCCAGCAAAGAAAGCATCGATTCCCCGCTGATTATATAACGTTTGAATAAGAAAAATAAAGGAAATTGAAAAAGCCAGAAGCAGATACGAAAGTTTTTGACAATAGAAAAAAGACGTTGTTAGAACGGTCTCTACAGGATTTACATGTGACACAAGATATTTGACTCGATCTTATTTTAATGACCTATCGTTTTACTTACTACTCCGGAAATGCATTTAGGAAGCAGTTTATTCTCTTCAACACTAGTTTTAACAAACTTCGGCTCTATTCAAGAACGAATGTTCGAGCATATAGTTTTGATTGCTGTTTTTTTTTGGCTTCGAACTGAACTTGGATCAGAAATGAATTATAGAGAAAAATGTATTATATTTTAACGTATCTTCGTGTTACGATTAAAAACAAAATGAAAGTTGTTTTTAGTTTGTTTACGCTCTGCAATAGAATAACAAACTTTCCCTCTTGTAATTTAATGTTGCGTACATTTAAAAGATATTTTTCGATGTCGAAACAGAAGAAGTCATTCTTATGTGTATGAGAAAACGAATACGCAGTCTAGTTAAAAGAAAAAGAAAAGCAATTACATGTTATTTATATTGTAAATTAAAAACAATTATTTCCGTGTTTTGCACCTAATAACAAACAAAGTAGCAGTTTATTGTAGCTTAAAATTGGAGTTTGAAGGGAAAATTTTGCAACATTCGTATTAAACCTGCAACAAGGAAATTTTCATGTTTACATCTTTTTACACAAAGAAAACCTGCACACGTTGCTTTATAGGTGCTTCATTTTACACATGCCTATTTGAATTATTTCAACTATCAAGTAGTAAAATAGAAAGAGAATTGAAAAAAAACATTACTCTTCTATCAACAATACAAAATTTACTATGAGCATACAGAACTTTTACTTAAAAATCATTCAAGCTCTTTGATGTTTCTTTTGTCCTTTCCTACTTTCAACTTTATGTGTCACAATTGCATAAAGATTTTTCGCATGATTCAGACGTTGACGGTTTATTTGACTAGAGTGAGCTTCGGTAAGAATGGTTAAACTTTGCATTTCACGGATAACAAACCACGAGTATGATGTATTGAGCTCATAGATTTGTCCCCGGAAATTAAGGCCACCACAATAGTGTTATCGTGGATAGAATTTTTAATGCGCATTGAACTGCGTCGTTTACAGCTCAAAACAAACGGAACTTTTCTCAGATTATTTTTACAAGAGAACAACGTCGTCAGAAAGAAAAACAAAATAGGAAAACAAAAATATTTTTGTCGTACTCGTACATGTCGTAGGCTAGAGGAAATAAAGAACTTTTACCTAACATAGAGCTGAAATAAAATCAGTTGAAGATGAAATAAAAATATTCTTTAGTGTGAATGCATGAAAAGAACCAAACCGATTTTCTCCTAGTCCATGTCATGATTGGTTTCAATTTGTTGATAGAGTTTCCATGGTAATCTTAGTTTCACGCTGTATAATTGAAATGTATTTCATGGCTTTACTTCAATGTTATCAAATAAATAAGCAAGAGTTGCATGAACAATTGTTTGAGGAAAAAAAACTGTACTAAAATCTAACTATGAATTTGTTCTCAACTCATGATCCTATAGACAAAACAAAAGGATATTCTATTGTGAAAATACTTATAGAAATCAAGTATGATAATAAATTTTCTTCGGCATTATGCAATAGAAAAAAGACATAATGAAAATTTTTTTTTTTTGTTACAAATCGAGTGAATTGATGCACATTCGATTTTCATAGATGTTGCTTCCTCGATAATTATAAATGCAAAAAATGTTGTAGAAGAAGAAAGAAATTCTTTTTATTATGCAGTAGTACTGATTAGTCTACTAAAGTTGTTATTCTATAATAATGACTTGTTGAAAACAATTTATAAGAAAGAACATTTTTCTCTTCTTACAGGCATACAGAGGTTCAATACCAAATTATGACAAAAAAATGCCAATGGAAACTACTGAAAAGTTCTCTGCCGTGTCTCGTCATCAAATGTCGAATAATTTGAATCGATTGGTCAAGTCCACAACGATAAGGTACGAAATTGCCGTATACTTATGCATATAAATATGTTTTTGTCTTTCCTATGAGGAACCATATCCCTAACTCTGCTTTCTTACATCCTCCAATACTTCCGGAATTTGATCGACCTACAACAGCTCCACTTATGTTCGAAAAAAATATCTCACGATCCGTATCTGAACTGATAAAACCTTCAATGCCTTCCAGTTCATCGACACCATTACGAAATACAGGTTCAGCAGAGTCATTGGATAATCATGACGATTCGAGAGATTCACGTTACTATCAATACACATCGGGAGTATTCAAAAATGAAAATCGTTCTGTGCGTGAACCTCAAATGGTTAGAAATAGTCATATGAGTGATACTAACAATAGCAGCAATCGTAATAGTTTTTTCTATTCGTCTTTTGATACTAATTCACCTGGTAAATCAACTATAAATAATGATGACGAACCGAAAACACCTTATCGTAGCAATCAATGTCGAGTAAATCGTAATTATTTGATGAAAATGTTTTTTTTTATTTAATCTAATTTTAGACGAATGGTTTTCAACATATAGCAAATTTAGGTAGTTGGCAACGTAATACAAAAAATAAGCCAATAGTAATAGTAGAAAAACCCAGAGAAATACAATGTGATGAAGAAACTGCTGAAGATAGTGATCATCCACCATCGAATTCGTCAAGAACAAATTATGAATATAAAAGTCCGTTTCCTGAAGAAAATGATCAAGCTATTTTGTTACAGACACAAAGTCAAGCACATATTAGTATTAACGAATGGAATTTGAAAGATTTCTATCGTGATAGTAAAACACAAGTTGAACCGGATACAAATACGAAACTAGTTTTTGAAAAATGTCTTAAATTAGCCAGGTAAAAGAAAGTCAATGCAAAAACTTTTTCAGGAGACGACGTTGATATAGACCCACATTTAAACTGATGCATTGACAAGGTTTTTAAGTTGGAATTGAGAACAAAATGCCTTTCAATATTCTATCCATTTTTACTTATCTATCTGGAGTTAAATTGATGATTATGGCTGAGAATCTAAGTAGTGTGACACATATCCATAAGATATTAACGAGGGAAGGCCACCAACTGTTCAATCGCTTTTAGGTTGAAACTATTCGCATTCTGTAGCTCCCAACGAGTTATGGATACGCTGAAAATATTTTGGGTGGATAGCTTGTTGTTATGAAAATAGTCCATTTGTACGGTATGGTTTTTTAGTGAGTGCCTGAACTCCCCCTCAGGAACCATGAAAAAAATTGATTTTTCAGTTTCAACTTGAAAATTTACATAGAAGCATACCTTAACGAGAATAGTGTTTCGTGACCGTTTTAGACCATTCTACTATTCCTATCATTACACACAGCTATTATGAAACTTTTATTTTACATCGTTTAAATAGGGTAGCAGATTTGATGAAACAAACAAATTCAATGACCAAAAACATTTACAAAACATTATTCTTGTTGAGATCTATTTCTATGTGAAGTTTCAAGTCGAAATTCGAAAATCGATTATTTTCAAGGTTCCTGAGGGAGACTCCAGGTACTCACTAAAAACCATACCTTTAAGATGGACTATTTTCATAACAACAAGCTATCCGCTCAAAATATTCTCAGCGTATCCGTAACTCCTTGGGAGCTACATAGTGTAAATAGTTTCAACGCAAAAGGGATTGAACAGTTGGTGACCCTTCCTGTAAGCTCAAAACTTAATACCATAAACCATGTAATGACGACTTTTTACAAGTCACTAACGGCTATTTGCTTCTAATCTGCTATTTAATAGCCTCGAAACTACTTTCTGGCCTGTTTTAAACTCTGAAATATATCCAGTATCCGTTGCAGAGAATATATATGCCATCATTTAATTTCACGCTGCGCCATAATCCGTACCTTAAGCTATTTCACCATAGCTGTCTGTTTGATTGAAATCATGCCGTTTTTTTAATTACTGCTCTATTTAGCCTTTTTCTGTTTTCTGAATTTTTTTCTTATGAGCATCTTTTAAATTCGATTATAATTATTCTTTGAAGGATGCAAGCTCATACAATTAAATGGGAGCAACGTCGTCGTCAAAATTTAATTATCTATAATCGCCTTCTTAAAAATGGTTCATTCGATAATAATACGATAAATTCTCATGGAGTTTTTCCATCAAAAAATAATAACGAAAAAGATATTCGAGATATAAATGAATTAAAACGTGAATTACGTTGTAATGAATGTAAACGATTAGCATGTCTGGGCAACTGCGCACCTGGCAATGAATATCGTCAATATAAACGTTACACTCCGTTTTCACCATTGCCGAGTACACGTGAACAAATTCGTAATAAACTTAATTTGCGTACACAACGCTCGACCACAGATTTACGTCCTTGCTCAGTGCAACACACGATACGAGAAACAAAATTTAAATTCGAACCATCGAACTTCAACCCGATTGTTGTTCTACCTTTGTACGACAATGAATCTCAAACTAAACGTCCATCAAAAAAATCAGCGCATCGATATCTACCAACTAAGTCACTTCGTTCACAACGACGAGAAACATTAGCGCTTCTTGCAACACCGAAAGTTTCAACTTGAATTCTTTTTCTATTAATAAATATACCTCTAAATATTTTAGAGAATCATCATTGCAAAGAAGGAAACAACAAAATACATATAACGATAAAGAATTCTATTCTGTAAGATTATCATACGAGTTAAACGGTTTCAAGCAATGCGAGCTAGCTACAGAATCTCTTCTACTTGTTTGCGTAGTGTTGCTGTTGTTTTTATTGTCTTATCTTTCTCCTCTTCTATTCTCATCCACCACTTGGGGTATATAGATTAGATCTCATATACAGATCTAATTGAGAGTAGAAACGCGATCGCCTTTGTTCCATTCTCCGACCATCTTGTAGAAAGTGTCTTGCGATAAGAACAACACTTTTCTTTTCCCTATCTAAGTTTCTCTTTGCCATTATGTCACTCATTGACAGATAGCTAATGAGTGTATATAGATATATCGAATGACGGCAATGTATTTGTAGTCAAAAGGTTGAGTGAATTATCATTGTGTACGTGCGAATATGAGTGACACAAATTAGTATGCAACTGCTAGAAAGAGAAAGAATATCATCTTCGTATACATATTGAAAGCACAACTGTTCAAAACGATGAATCTGATATTGATCAAGAAAGAATTCTTATATTCATATTAAGATGATAAACATGCAGATGTGCTCTAGTCTTTATTCTATTCATTTATCTTACGTTAGAATAACATTTATTATGCTTCTTTTCCGTCTTTAAAGGATATAGATTATTTGTCCCATTGATCTCACATCGAACTCTATGACGTGACAATAATTATAGGAGCAAACGAGCAACGTGTAATCGAATCCTTTTCTTTGCTGGTTGCTGTGCGTATTTGTCCATAGGAATAATAACAAGAGAAGTTAAATGCTGACAATACTAGGCACCTTTCATTTTCTTTTTTCTTGCTTCCTTCTATACGCTTTTATAGAAATAAATATGCATTTATGATTTGATAATCAGTATATATGTACTAGCTCAAAGATAAAGATTGATTTTCGAAAGATCGGATTGCACAAGCACCAGTGCCGCTAGAAAAATTGCAAACACCATACATTATTATGCACAGAAGTGATGGTAGTGTGTGCATTTAGCCTCAAGGCTGCAACCACCAGTGTCTTTTCTTTTACTGTGCAATGAGATAATAAGAATAAGACGAAGAAGAAAAAGAATTCACGATAGCATGAAGGATAAGGCAGACTGAAATATGCCTTTAAGAAGATCTGTAATCGATAGGATGGATAATGAGAGCAACACTTGCATGCTCTCTCTCTCTCTCTCTCTCTCGTGTTCTTCGCGTTGGCATTGCAATTGAGAGCTTAGCTCTTATCTGACAAAAGATGATTGTGTATAGAAGAAAATGTTTATCAGTCGCCACATTAAGTAAACACTATAGTTCGATCTTTTCTTTTTTTTTATGGAACACATATGTATAAAGATTTGACAGTACTTTCTCTTCTTTTTATTTTTGTCTTTGTGTGACGTGACAACTGTCAATTTAAGAAGAAAAAAACAAGAGCGAAAGTAACAGCTGTGATAGTACTCGCTTACTTAACCGCACTGAACATGGAATGTAATCAACGATGAATATGAAATATATAGACTGCTGCATATGATGGGCGAAAACAGTAACAATAATCAAACTTCATGTCTTTGCTAAGTCAAGTCAATTGACAACCGTACATATACAAATGGGATTAGAGCCTTGTCTGATTTTGAGGTAAGACAATGATGCCATGTCGATCGTCAAATGATGTGCTCTCTCTCTCTCTCTTTCGCTCTCTGCCTATCTAACGCTAGATTCTGTTGTAATACTTCTTTTTTCGCTTTCTTTCTCTCTTTCTCTCTCTCTCTCTCTCGTGGTCGAATGACAACAATCATCATCAGCGCTCTCTTTCTCTGTATGATATAAAAAGGCTACGAAAGAAACAACCGCTATGGTTATAGAAAGCACTGTACCAGGGCGTTTCTCTTCTTCACTTTCACTCGTCTGTGCAATCGTTTTGGCACACAGTTGACAACAACAACAGCCGCTGCCGTCATAATTCTCGAGTCAATGATAATAGGTAATTAGCTACTATTGTTTTCATACCATTATCCATGCCTCTTGCACCCTCTTACTGGCAGTATGGCTCTTTTTCTGCCTAATGTATACAGCAATGACGAGCACACAGAAGAAAGTAAGCTATTGTTTGTTCTTGTTTTATATTAAGATATGAAAATTTTCGAAATGAAAAATAAAACACATATTGTCTTTGCTTGTTCGTACAGATCCTATGATAAATACAAGTATGATTATTGTACTTTTAATTTTCGTATCTCATTATTATTCAAATTGAGTTGTTAATGAAACGGAAATAATAATTCTTTATTGTTTTTCATGTTGACTATTCGTCATTATTTTATTCATAAGTTGTGTTAATGGCATGTTTTTTAATATTATTTGTTGTTTTATATGTATCCGTAGCATGAATGATAACAGGTTTTTCCTTTCTATTTCCTATGTCCATCGTCATTATCATCATTGTCAAATATGATAACGGCAATAAAAATTCTCAATGAAAGTGATATTATCTAATACACAAATATAATAGTGTTCTTTTTTTTTTGATCTACTGCATTACTATATTAGATCGTTAAACTACAATGGTATAAGTAGTTAGTCGATTTTGTACTGATGGTGCACATATACGAATATGCATGTGCGCACGACTTAATGCGTATCAATAAGCTTAGAGCGAGAGAAGGACAAGCAAACAGACGCTCTGCAGATTATATTACAACAAATACTTTGAAAGAAAAAAGAAAGACGAGGATAAAAGATATTCGTAACAATAACAACACAGAAGTGCCGTTGTTTATGTTGATAGAAATGGTTTTGGTATAGTAAATGTAGCCTCGGCGAAATCGGACTCGATAATGATCAATATCTCGTATGTAAGTGTGTGCAGTATGTGCTCAAGCAAATATTATGATCTGTGACTGGTACTTTTTAAGATATATATATAAATGAATGAATATGCGGCGTGTGTTGATGCAATCACTTTTAGTTTTTAGTCACGTACTACACCGATTAACAATGAGAAGTAGTGAATAAAAGCTGAGAGGGGGACAGCAAGATATTTATTTATAAATATATATATATACATGTACACTTCTCACTTTCATAACAGCACAAGGGCAATGAAAGAGACGTATATGTTTATGTGCAGTTAATGAATAGGACGTGTGAAGACTATTAAAATTAACATGAACATATAAATTTTGTAATAGATTTCTTTTTTATTCCAGTTCTTTTGTTGCAATGTGAATAATCTACATTGAATGACGTATGCATCTATACGATTTATAAAGATATGAATTCGTGCATATCTTAGGATTATGATAAAAATCACAAATATAAACCTATGTGATTAAAGTTCTTTTAAGTATCATAGATTATGGAATGCCATCATTCGGTTTTCTTTTCTCTTGTTTTTTTTTGTTGTCGTCTTACGATTAATCTTCTGCGTGCTTATTGATAGACAATAAAGAACAAATTGTTTTATTTTCTAATCTCATATTAGATTAATTGACTAGTATCATCATTTTTCTATATCGATTTCTTGACATTCATATAGAATCGATATGAGATAAACGATAGTCTCTATCTGTCGATATATGCGCGTCCATCTTGTCCTTACTTGTCAACAATACACACCGTCGCGTATACAACATATATATGTTCTACTAATATTATCTTTCCAAAAAAAAAAAAGAAAAAGAAGAAAAATAATAGTTAGTCTGTGATGAAGACAAAGCGATGTCATCCTGTCGTTGTCCAATAAGATACATGGCTGATCATGATAGCATAGCCGAAATATTGAAAAGATAGATGATAATTCTATATATCCATCATGTACTTGTCTTTTATTAGTTGTAGAAAGGAGGAGATTTATATTCTCCGTACGTGTATATATATATATATATACTTGTGGCTGACCTTTGCATCATGTAACTTTGGAAAATCTGAATTCATCGTTTTCTTTTCTTTGTCGTCATGAAAGTATTAATATTAGTCATTTATGACGATTAATGTCTTGATCATGTTAACAGAATATTTAGCCTTCTACATATTGTTATTTCTGCAATAAATAAATGTAACACAGCAACATCAACAATATTTTACACTTATTGCTATTATACGCTCTTTTTGTTTGGCTTCGTATTGTATCGCCACACTGCACATTAAGGTTTCGCAATATTGAAAAAAAAAAGGTCAATAGACTTTTATTGCTTATAGAATAAATGCTAATTTATTTCTGATTTGAACTCATACTAAGACAGGTAAATGCTTCCTGCTTTATTTCTTTATGCATAGTATGTATTTGTCGATGATCGTATTCGTGCTGGATTTCCCTTTTGCCTATTCTTTTTTCGTCTTAATACGCGCGATTATGATTTTTTTGTTTGTCATAATTATTGAAACAAAAATATTCAGCAGTAATTAACCCATCAACATGTTTTTGTTTTCTATTTTCTTTGCTTTCTGGGCTCTTTTTCTTTTTTGCTTTCTTCTGTCCATTCGTTTTGTGTATTCTTTCAACCTTGTGTAAATGGGTGAAAGTAAATATATATATCAACGCGAGTTACAGCCAAATAAGCAAAGAAAAAAATTAGCACTTTGTTGTCTGAAGCAATAATTTTGACGGGTACCTTAAAAAAAGAAAAAGAAAAGAAAACGAATCAAGATACGACATCACATAAACCGAAGCATTTTATCCATAGTTAGTTTTTTTTTCTTTATTCGTTTGTAAATAAAGAAAAAAGAAATAATTGAAACTCATGTCTATAATCGTTTACTCATTCTCAATAATTTGTGCACGCGGCTATTTGCCTTGAAACGACGATGTATAATAAGTAGTTCCATTCATTCGCCGAATAAGGGACAATGCATCCATGCAACCTTCGGCATACCTACAAAATTGTACAATCGTACTTTTCTTGTTCTATTGTCATTGAAAATTTCCTTTTTCAAGCGAACTTGTACGATCACATTTGCTTATTCGTTCATAATTTTCTACAATTGATTTCTTAAGTTGATTCATAGTATTGCTCACCAATCGTTTTCGTTTCTTTTTTCTATTCTATTGTTCGCGCTCGTAATAGGTAAAATAACTATGATTCTAGAAGTGCACATCATATTATCGTTTTTGCGCTTTCTGTTCTATCCTTTCAACTAGAAGCCACATAAGCAAAAAATATTAATTATTAGGTGATGATAACAATCTGCGAAACAATGGATGTCTCTGTATATTATACTACGGACTATCTATCTTGTAGTCAATAGATAAAAAAAAATATCCTGTTAGACAAATGGTAACAGATAGAAGAAAACAAGAAGAAAAAAGCTTGTAAGTTCTCTGCCTCTTTATTTTTAACGTTCACATTCTTCAGGGAAAAGGAAGGTCTTAGAGTCAACGACAACAGATGCGTATAATGAATATTATACTGAAGAGTAGGTCAATTGTTGTTTAGTAACAAGTTGTTCAGCTATTGACATATTCTCATCCGAGTCTAAATCCTTGAAGCTGTCACGCATTAATACTTGTAGTTAACGAGAAAGAAGAAGGAAAAAAAGGCGAAATCAATAATATACAAATGATGATAGAGGTAAAGGCCGATTAAAATTGACTGCTATGTATAGATATATCATTAACGACGACGACGACGACGACGGCGACGATGATGATGTGATCTCATTTCTTTTTTCCTATTCCGGTTGTCTTTTTTTTAGTAGAAATTACTTTTTTTTTGTTTTCTGTCTCTTTATGACACCTGATGACATGAAAGATTTAATAATGCCATCGCTCGTCAAATCTTGGCGAATAGGGAATCGTTGTCTTCCCATTGTTTATGTTGTGTTAAGTCGGAAAAGAAGAAAAAAGAAACAAGAAGAATAAAATATCTTTTCTTTTTCACGTAAGAAACAATTCATGATGCATCTGTCAAGCGAATGAATGACTGTGTAAGTAATATGGTTTATTAATTTTCTAGTATGTATTATGTACAAAATCAGTTTGTATGCTCATGATGATGACGACGACGACGACGATGATGTATATTGTGTTGAGAGTATATGTAGATAGATACAATGCGACGCAATTGAATATACATGATGGTGTGAAGTCGAGCGTAAAAAAGGAAGAAAGAAAGAGAAGAAGAAGAAGAAGAAGAGTGTATTGTGTCAGTAGAGGTAGAGTACAAGTCTACCGTGCCTTTGGCGCATTGCACGCTCGGTATATACTCCGAACAATAGATTTCTAATGGAAAAGAAAGACGAGGTAGAGAGAGAGAAAAGAAGAAAGAACGACTACTCACACACACACACATATACACATAATCACAGTACCAAGGTGTATCCACCATCGCATTAGCATGCATAACTACTATTGATGGTAATAATTTTTCTTTGTGTATTCTATTGACGTTCGATTCGTAAAGCAGAGAAAACAAAAATTATAAGGCATAAGGAATAGAAGGAAAAATTGACGCAAAGTTATTTCTCAACACCAATCACAAATGAATAGTCTTACATACATTTATTCATTTTATTAAGCAAGAGGCAAATACAAAAGACATTGTATAATAGGGTAAGTAAGAATAGTCTTGTCAATAGATTGAGAAATTTATGCAACTATAATAGTATGTTTGTAATTGTTACTTATGCTTAACTCTCCTTTTTTTTCTTGCTTGTAAATGCGTATGTATGAACATATTATTAGTTTCAGATAGAAGAAATAAAGTTCATCAGTCATAAGCGCACGGGGCTGAGGCGACAGTTACATAGAACTATTAATAGTACTAAAAACAATAGGGCATGTTTGTGTTTGTGTGTGTGTGTGTGTGTGTGACAATATCAATTATGTAAACGAAGCTAAAATCCGGGTATGGTGTAAGAAGAAAAAAGAGTGTCATACACACGGCAAGAATCTTCGATTTAACAGAGCAAAAAAAAATCTGATAGTTCCTATCTGTCTTGGACGATTTCCACACTCCATTCAGTTCTCATTCTTCATGCTTGTCATATTCCCCGATTGACAAACAGGTAATGACAAGGGAAAAAAAAGAAGCTTCTCTTCATCAAGTATCAAAAGATACGATATATTCATCCTAACATATATGCATAATTTATCGTGTATGGTCGTTTGTTCTCTTTTTTTCTTTTGCATACGTCGACATTTAATTGCAACAAGTTTATTATTATTATTATTATTATTTCTAGTGTTTCTTTTTTGTCCTTTGGCGAGCACTGTTGTTTGACGCAAGGTTTCACTTCTCATGTAAATAATCAAAACGCATTGTCGATACTGTATATGTATATGAATAGCAAACGAAGTATTAAAATGGATAGAATGTTATTCTTGCACTATATTGCTTGCTTTACAACGTAATATGTATATTTAATAAAAGTGTGCATTAGAAGTGTGAAAAATTTCTTCCTCTCTCTCTCTCCCTCTCTCTCTCTCTCTCTATGCTTGTGTTTCATTACTCGCTTCATTAGATTTCTTTCATATGATCGGCCTCATATAGTGTAGCAAGAAGATCAGTATAATAGTCCTAAATCGACTTTTTTTTTACTTCTATCAAATGTATGGTGGACATATGTAATTAAGAAAAAACGAGAAAGAGAGATGAGATTGAAATCGTTTAACAAACATGCAAGGACAACTATGAAGGAGTATATGTCGTACACGTTCGGTTACAACGCGGATGATGATAATGATGATTCAATTTTATATATTGAATATAGATATATGATCGGTTCATTTTTCACCTCTGATTATTGTTCCTGAACGTTTTTCTCACATGTCCCATTCGCATACATACGTATCAACGTTTTATTATGTTTTCAGTCGTCACCTGCTGATCTTGCTTAGTATTATAATATGAAGTGCAATGCCATTTTTTCTTCTCCTCTTCGTTTTATTTCTTTTTGTATGAATTAAAAGCGAACACACACACAAGCCCCTTTCTCTTTCTTCGTTTTTTTTATATTCATAAAAGTGGTTCTCACATATAATAAATTATTCGTCCGAACAACCGAACAAATCTAATGATATCAATTGAGAAAAAAAAGAAAGAAATGAGAAGTATAGTTAGACTTTTATTCGATATAAACCACGTATCTGTTTATCGTTGACTTCGCCTACTCCTGATGGGTTATTGTTGTAGCTGATGAAGACCAAGATGACACTTGAACGAGTCGAGTAACATTGAAATAAGAAGCTTTTCTTGCTTCTTACTTTTATATCTCGTTTAGCATTTTGGTATTAATTTCTTCTTCTTATCTTTATCGTATAATGTGTAACCAAGAGAAAATAATTATATATGAGTGGAACAATGCTAGCAGAAGCTTGCCTTTTCCTATTTTGATATCAGCAAGATCGGCAACATTTTGGTTAAAGGAACCTGTCATCAAATAAATTTCTTCTTCTATATGCTTCTGTTTTTGTATTCATTTTGGCTTATATCTACCAGCATCGTTTTCCATTCTAGATTTAAAATAATGTCAGTAAAGCGAAAGCATGACTTTGATCATCTTGAATCCTCTTCAATATCATGTCCTGAAGACGATTTAATGACAACGAAATATATCAAGACCGAGGAATTTTTTAATCATAATTCTCCATCAACTGATGCACGTATGTAATCATTTATTTTCTTCTTCTTGTTCAAGTTTGAGGCAAAAAGAAAAGATTTATTCTAATAGATGAATCAAATGAAAACCATTCAACATCTCCGGCAGCTTTATTTAATGAGTCTCATTCAAAAGATATTAAATTAACGCAACAACGAAATCGCCGTAAAAATCCAACTCAATCGAAACTACCACAAAATCCTTCAACAGTCTCATCGTCATCCTCCTCATCATCAGGAACAAACGTTCGAACGATTCTTAATCTAATTGATTCATTAGTTGATGAAAAACAATTTGATAATAGTGATGAGAATATCCTATCGACTATTGATTGTCTTATTAGTAGTTTAAAACATATGCGTGAAAAAATCAAAACAATCAATCATGATGATACACATCCATTGAATTTATCTAAACCTAAAGTTCAACAACATGTTCATGATGATGTCAATGCAACAGTAACGCCATCGAATTTTCCATTAGCATCTGCGCTTTTTTCTTCTCAACCATTTTTGTCACCATTTTCTGGTAAAAAAATTTCAATGAGAAAATTTTTTAATCTTAACTCTTCTCTCTCTCTCTCTTTCTAGTTGCTAATATGACACATTTTCAAAATTATTTAAAATTATCGGCTGCCTCCGTACTGAACGATTCCATTGTATGTACCTTTGATATCGATTTTTCGTCTTTAGAATTTCGTTTTTGTTTTTAGAATTTAAAAAATGGAGAAAATAACAATTTAAAAGGCTCATTACCATCACCATTTCTTGCTGGTAATAAATTAAATAAATATTTATTTAAATTGAATCATCTAAATTTTAATCATTATTTTCTACTAGGCTTCAATATGTTTCCTTTTACAACGGCATCAGGTCATCTGCCTCATCATCAATCAAATGCAAAAACAACATCGAACGATGCAAATCATAATAACAATCATCATCATCATCATCGTCGTGACTCGTCCATTGACAAAAGCTCATCATTAGGTAAATCAAAATAGTTTTTCTATTGTTATCTATCAATCTTACGATAAAACAAAGAAAGCGAAAAACGTGATTTGCCAAATCAAATAACTTTTTGTTTTTTGATTGATTATCGTTATTATGACGAAAACAAAGACACAATGAAACTAGTCGATTAAAAGCATTCATATTGAATGATAGATAGAAAAACAAAGTATGTATCTTTTCTACTTTGTGCATAATGATAAACAACAAATCATTATTTTACTATTATAATAATATTCGATCTGTTCTGAGCTAACGAAAAACAAAACGCTCTAAACTGAAAAAATAAACAGTCTATTTAAATATGAACTTCTTTGTAGTTCATCAAATCTCAACCAATCGCAAAGAACGAACCCATTCAATACCGCCAACTAATCAGTCCATTTCAGCTTCGAACCTTGGAAATAATGACATAGCATCATCAAATGATCATATAAAACGTCCTATGAATGCATTTATGGTTTGGGCGCGTGAAGAGCGACGAAAAATTTTGAAAGCATGTCCGGATATGCATAATTCAAGTATTAGCAAAATTTTAGGCACTCGCTGGAAAGCCATGAGCAATGAAGAAAAACAGCCTTACTATGAAGAACAATCGCGTTTAAGTAAAGTTCATATGGAGAAATATCCAGACTATCGATATCGGCCTAGGCCGAAACGAACATGTATGATCGATGGAAAGAAAATCCGTTGGTATGTATTGTTGTGTTTATCATTTTTATCGAAAAACTGTTCTTTCTTTCTATCAAGGTCGGAGTATAAACAAATATTAAAACAACGAAAAGTTGGCCAATTCGATGAACAATATTCACCTGATGAAAGTCATTACTTAAGTAAATATTGTTTTCTTCTTTTGGAATTTCTTCTTTTTTTTTTTTTTCGATTCGCTCTAGATAATGATGAATGTAGCTCAGATGGTAGTAGTGCTTCACAGAAAGAACTTATTTTTACTGATTGATTTATGTGATTTATATTCGCGACAGAGATGGTGCTTCACAACAGTATTCTCTCATGCCCAGCCAGGTGTGTTTGACAGTTCTTTTATACAAACAACAAATACAGTGAATCTCATTGGATGTTCAACAGCCTTGTTTCTTGTTCAATGTAAATTAGTTTTTTGTATTTGTGCGCATGGTATTAATCCCGGTGCACAATATATCGTTTTTGTTTTTCTTCTTTTTTTCTTCTTCTGTGTTTTATGTTCATTATTCATATTATATTCTTTTTATGTTTATTATTCTTACATTGTGTTTTCTTTTCTTTACATATAAAACAGTTTTTGACATTCTAATGAAACATAAAAGATAAGATTTGAATTAATAGGCTGGAAAACATGGGAAACTTTAAAATATTGCAGCAATAAAGATGTTATAATGGTTTTCGACTATTATGAAATCAAGTAGAAAATAGCTAATAGACATATTCGGAAAAATTCAACATCAATTTTGTAAAAACAACAAAACGTTTTGATAGTGTAAATGAATCACCGTGCATTGCAATGAAAAAAAAAGAAAGCTTCCAATTTAATAAATCCCTTTTAAGTCGAGGGTGTGTGAATTTTAAAGGTCTCAATCAATTTGTATTGCCAGTTTACTGTTGGAGAGATGGCTTAGGGCACTTTTTAAACGGCTGTGATATTTCCTCTCGAGAAGAAAAGAATATTCTGTTAAGAAAATGAGAACAGTTAATTGTAAAATTTTCCGATGCTTTCAATTATTACTGACTTCAAGCGAAAATATCGAATTCATGTGAGTGTTATAAAAGTTATGGTAATACAAAAATGATGAGACTAAAGATATTCACTACAAATCACTTTTCTATATGAAACAGAAAGCTGTCGTTTGTAGGTATTGGCTAGAAAAACTATTCCGGTGAGATGCATTGACATATTTCGTAAAACATCTATTTTAATACCTTTGATAAACTAAATCAAATTGCAGACATTGCCGAGCGAACAACTTGGATTTGTTGTGTGCGGTGTCTATTTGATTAATATAAGTTACAATGTTTGACTTTTATTCAGATAGCTTTAGCTCATAGTTCATGTCCTCGGTTTTGAAGGTATAAGACCTCGATTTGTCGAAGACGGCAGCGTATGAGTATGAAACAAGAGGATGCAAAATGACGATTTAATCAATATTATTATAGAGTTAATAGTTCTATTGAAACAGAGTTACACTTTTTAATAGAATAAATAGTGTAGAATTACATATTACAGTGCAGAAAAATATTGAAATCTTCAATATGGTATACCACACTGAGTTGTTCTTTGTTGGATAGCACTTGCGCATTTTAGCTGTTGTTGATCTTACGCTGCAGGGGCTACTATTCGGATTATGCTTTGACATGCATTTTGAATGTCGGGCATAATATGGCACTATATACGTAAATGTTCTGACGAAAGAAGGATTTTAAAAGATTTTTCTATTTCTGTTTTTGATTTATTTCGATCGATCTTTTATTTATAATGAACGAGATGTTTGCTGCATATCTAATATCATGTCGTATTGGTCAGTATCTTTGAGAAGAAATAAGAAATAGTTAAGCTGATAGAGTTCATCATCTCTTCTTGTAATATCGCAATCTAGGCACAGTTTTTATAGTCGCTTTCGTTTTTCTTAGTTTTGATAAATCAACACCACGATCCTAACGACGAATTATATTGTGACAGTTGCATGTCGCTTGATTTTAGTTTAGATAATTTTGAAGCATGTTTTGAAAAAAAGTAAGTCACACAATTGTTGATTTGTACGATATGAAATATGAAGCTATCGTAAGTCTTGCATGATCGTAAGTTGCCACAAGAATTTTATAGTACCATCTTAGCTACTACTACAAGATATGCTGAGGTATGCAGCTTGAAGGTCAGTGCGCGAGATCATACAGACATGTAAACAGGTGTCATACAAACGTTCGTGATCGTTAAGTAACCATATCGAGTCGTCTAATACGAGCTCTACTTAAAGTTGTTGAGATTTGTGTACCTTTATTCTTCGAACATGAGACATTTTTTTTTGGTTCATGTGGAACCAAGATAATCCTCTCATTGAAATGTAGCTCTATTAAAAACAGTATGGCATATCAACTCAAAGGTTAAGTGTTATTTTTCGTTATTTTATTAAATTTTGAAACGAGAGAAGGGAAACATTTTTGAAATATACTACTTTTCACATATTGACTTAGGATTCTTTTCCATCACCAAAATAAAAAAAAATTCTTGATTAATAGGAAAATATTTTCAATCATGCAATTTTCGCAACCATCTCTCGACTAAGTAAATCAGCTTGCCGTATCGGTTCGCAATTACGATACTGAGTTACAGACTTGAATATATCGCACGCTGTTTTCAATGTTATTTTATGCCCAGCACTAATATAAACCGCATTTTTCACAAAACCAGTTACATTATAAGCTAAGCCGAGGACAGATCCCCTATCACCAGTGACTTCAATATATTGATCTTCTCCGGGTGCTTTTTCGGTTAATAGTTCTTCTAAATGTTCTCGAGTGACCCCATCACAATGGAGAACATTTTTTGATACACCAAAACACGGAATTCCACTTAAAACACCAAAATGTGAGGCAATACCAGCCCGACGCGGATGCCAAACACCGTTTCCATCCATTAAAATAACTTGTGGTGTCAAATGAGGGCAATGTTCTTGCTGAATGTCTAGCATTTTCATAAAGACTGGAGCTTCACGAAATGCTAAATAACCAGCTTTGTAGGGAATTTTCATATTGCAATTCACACTAATTTTTGCTACAATTTCCAATGTTTCATAATCAAAAATAACCATGGATGCGACAGCTTTGTCATTGGTTTTAACAAAGCTAATATCTAAACCAGCGATATATTTCAGAGGTTGTGCGATTTGATCAACATCAGTGATGGTTGATGAAGCAATATTCTCTTGTTCTCTAAAATGTTTGCAAAAGAAAAAGATTATCTCGCTGTTTAACTGTTAGCTACATGTTTTTCTAGCGGAAATTTTTGTAGCTATTGTGAAGTAATGAAAATAAAAACTCTATCATTATATGATATCCTATCAGTGCTGTAAGTTCTTTTTAAAGTGTTTTTGAGGAAAATTAAAATAAATTCCCTTGGTCATTAAATTATGATCGCCGTAACCTAATGATTAGTCTAATTTGTCACATTCATATATTCAGAGTATAGAAATAAATGAAGACGTGAACTTTCTCAATGACAAAAACGAATCGGCTGTAAAAATAAGCATCTATGGCATAACACTTTAGAAATCAACTTTTCGGGACGTTGAGATTATTCTAAATCTTTAAATACGAATGAACTATTTATGTTAGTCTGATAGATTCCCGAAATATAAAGCCGCAATGTATTCGTAGTATGAAAAAATCTTGCTAGCGTTGGATAAAAAACGAATACATACTGAGTCCACGCAGACAAAAGATCTTTCACATCCATATTATAGCCAAATTCAATAAAATCGCTTATTTCAATATTCAAGCATGTTTGACTTTTAGTGCTATTCGAACCTTGCTTTGAATTAATGTAAAGTTGTTGAACACGTTTTCTTATAACATTAAAATCAATATTACTCGTGTCGAATTGAATCACATGTGGAGTTTTTAATTTCGATGGTTCAAATAAAATTTCATTTTTATCTTCATCATATTCCATTCCGCTAGCAATCAATTCTGCTTTAGTTTTATATTGATACGAACGCGATAGCCTTTCGTCGTCGAGTTTTGCCATATTTTTTGTTGTTCTACGAAATATTAAGTAATGTTCAATTGTTAAAATAACACAAGGGAAAATATGATCGCCGTAAATATTTCCTTTTCTTCCTGCAGTTCGACCTATATGAATCATGCAATCCAAAATCATGTAGTCATTGATTGATTCATCATGAGGGTATTTATCTTCAAGTATTTCGGCTACTGTGCTATGTAAAAGGCAATGCGCACTTGATGAATTGGGAACTGCATTGCCATAGTGATCGTGTAATTTTCTATCGAGGCTTTGTTTTATCTGATTCATCACTGTTGTTATGTTAATACGTTTATTTTCAATATCTTTTGTCCATAATGGTTCAGCATTGAAAAATAATTTACTTGGACAAGAAAATCGGCCAAGATTAATTGCATAGCCAGGAAAACTCGACATAAGTAAAGCATGATAATGACCAAACACATTTTCGTTGGCCATTTTTTCGAATTTATACCATTCTATTTGCATATTGTCACGTAGCGGTTGATGTTTCAACGCAAAATCGGCGTATAATTTCATAGGTCGATCATGCATAATGACAGTTGTTAAGATATACAGAATAAACGAAACGGTCTCCTTTGGAAGTATTGTTAAATGATCTACACCCATATTATCAGCAATTTGATCAATAGATTTCATACTAGTATCGTAAGATTCACCTAGAAATTTTTTTAACTTTGAGTTACTAATTTCGATTGCTCTCAATGAATTTTGCAGAGGAATTCCGCATAATGTATCAAAAAGTATATCATATAAATCTTGTTTAGCAACGCATAAATGTTCAGGACCAAACTTTGTTTTAGAACATTGCTTTTCAATACACATAAGAGTAAAACGTTTTCTTAAAAGTGTTTGAATCGTTTCTTTATCAAGCTGATGAAATAGATAATTGAAACGTAAAATTCTACAAACAGAATTAAACGGTTGTCGAAATAATTTATCTTCTTGTTTGATTATCTCTTTTAAAGCCAGAATAAACTCCATTCGTGTTCCTTCTTCAGAAAATGAATCCGTCGTAGAAATATTTTCCATGATTTGTTTAATCAAATAATCTTTTACGTTCTCATTAAGCCAACTGGATCGGTTATCATCAATCATTGCTAAGAGTAGCATTTGAACGTGATGAAGAATTTTATTTCCTGTTAAAATTCGATACAGTGAAGTATTTATCAATGATCGATTTGATTTGTTCGACCAGTTTAATGGAATAAAACCAGCACATGGCTCTCGGTAGAGCGTTATCAATTGATTTGCATTATTCATTGCCACATTGATGTAAGATTTAGCACAAAAACCACAAACTGGATTTGAAACAATACAATTCTTTAGCTTTTCATTACCTTCGAGTGGAAAATTAATAATAAAATCATTTGTCGTACAATCGAGATCACTGGGAGCATTTAACCAAAGTACAAAGGGCCCTTGTTCCATACAAATAGCACATTCAAATAACGGAACGTTGCTATGATCTAAAATATTGATTGCATCAGAGTATTCATCAGCATTTGTTGTTGATATCTTTGCGCGGTTAGCACGATTTGAAGCAAACGTAAAATCATTGATTGAATAAGAACCTTTTTCTTGCTCGTGTATTAAATTTTGTATGTTACTCCAAAATTGACGAGTTGTGTGAAGATGTAATGACATGTATTGAAGATATTGAATTTCTTCAATTTTAGCTTGATCGGATATTTCATAAAGTTGTTGACGAAGTTGATTCAATTCAGTTGAATTGGAATTTTCATTTAATTTCAATTGGACAATTTTTGAAACAATTTCATCACGTTGTTTTAAATATATAAAATCGAACTTTGATCGTATTCCTTCTTTATCGATTTTAATAGATTCATTTTTCATATGAGCAACAAAAGTTCGGAAATCATGTAGTTTATTACCAATTTTTGCGTACTGAATTAATGTCTTCCAATCATCTTCAGTTAGAGTTAATCTTAAATCAAGATCTTTTACGGCTAAAAATTTATTAAAATCAATAGCAACAATTTCTTGCTCATTTTCACGTAGTGCGATGTGACCATCGGGAAGTTTTACATTGTCATGAATTTTTGTACCATGAAATAAATCTTTCATATCTAATGTATTTAATTTTTCATAATCCGTTAAAATCTCGGACGATTTATAATGTTCGCTAATAGGACCTTTTGATGAAAGAACATAAAATACTTCACCATCATAATAGAGACATAGAACGTTCGCTGCCATCATTAATGGCGCAACAACGGAAACGTTGATTTGTGACGGTGTTGGCAATTTATTATGAACCATTATACAAATAACTAATGCTTTGTTTAGATTCTCGTTTGCGTGTGTTTGAAACTAAATTTATAAAATCGTTCAGTTTTTAGAATATTTTAAATCGAAATTAATGTCTTTAATAAACTGAATAATATGTTGTAAACAGAATGGCGTATAAACATAATTAAAAAACAATTTATCTTGATACTTCGAAGTAGGGTTACGGTATTTTTTATGACAAATATTGTCAAAGGTGCACCATTTCCATGATAATAAACAAAGAACTTGCGTTTTTTAGAATATTCGGAGGTGTTTTTCATCTGTATAGAGCGCGAAGCCTAGAGTCACAAGTATAGGCGTGCAAAACCAATTCCTACTACTGTAAAGAGGCAATAACCGAGGTCCCTGTAGTGCGTAGTGCAGCTGAATTACACGTTCAGTAGGTGAGAAGTACTATGAAGTAGACCCGAGTTACCGCTTTCGAAAAGAAATTTAAAAAAAGAGCCTTGAAGTAGGATCTTAAATGGGAGACGAAAGAAGTCTGCAACATATATTTTCTAAACAGGGACAGATCATAGAATAACTAGAATTGCTGTAATCAAAACCTAAACCTACATAAATGAGGTCCTGCACATCTCTAGTCATAAGTGATTTTACAACTGGAACACTTTCCATGTAAGCCAAATATTATCTACATGCAGAGAAATATCATATTTTCGAATGTTGCCAATGTAGAACGAATTTGGATCACAAACTGTCATCTGTGCTTTGTATTCATCGATTACAAAGTACAAGCAATCTAACAGTTTCATTATAACTCCATCATATTTTATGGTAGACTATTCATCAGAGTTCTGAAGAATCTTCGATTAAACCACATTGCAAAACGATGCAGAAGTCGAATTACCCATTTGAAATTTTGAGGACTATTAGAAAAATTTTACAACATGAACAGATGAAATCATATGGCAATGTGCCTGTTGCAAGTATATGATAATAGTTTTAAGCTATTGATAATAAACGTTACACATATATTAGTCTAGGAGTTTGATCAGAAAAATTGCAGGTCTCACTGTGGTATTGAAACTTTAAACCGCGCAGTGTGACTACTGTATTTACCTGTGTCACGCTTGCGTTATCAATTTCTCCGTCAGTAACAAAAACGATAACATCCGATTGATAAAATGCATTTTTTGTTGCTCCATTTTGAAATATAGTTATTGGATATGTACCACCTTCTGATTTTGCTAATGCTACATTTGTACATAGTTCAGCAGATGAATTCCAAAGAACTATATGATCAAATCGCGTAGCTTGACAAATACTTAATTCAGCTTGTAAAACAGTTTTTCCTATTGAAGTCAATTGTGAACATGTTGAACCCGAATTATCAATAAATATACCACTAGTAAAGTCTAAACAATGAATTTCGTTAACATGACACTTCTCGATGCATTCAGAAATGTGTCTTACGACAGTGAATATTAAGCTCGAAGAAATAAGAATAAATCAAATCTTTCAAAAAAAAAGCAAAATACCTTTTACTAGTTTTAACTTTATATCCGTTTTAGGAACAGTAACCAAACACGCCATGGCCATTGTTTTATTTTCTACAGCAAACATAAAAAACCAATAACTTTTATATAGACCAGAAAATTTCATCATCGACAGAAAGTTAAAAACTGATGAAAGAAAGAGAAATAAAAAAAACCTTTCGAATAAATCGAACGATCTTGAACCATGAAAAACAAGGATCATCCAAAATATTTTAGACATTATGTACAAGTTTATATATAGTATGGCTTCAGCTAAATGCTGACGTAATTACATTGCCAAGAATATTGCATCATATCAGTTTATTCAAATTAAAAATTCTTCCTTTTGTATAAATGTAATTTAATGCAAAAATCTTGCATATTGATGATCTTGTTCACAACAAAGGTCAAAATACTATTTCGAGATCAGATTAAATCGTTTCTTTTATTTTCTGTTATTGCTTTTTTTATACGTACTACTGCACACGATAAAATAAAGCCTCTATAATTATTATCGTACTCCGTTCAATAAATTCCGTATTAGTAATAAACAAATTAAATACAAGGTACTTTAAGTACTGAAGAATAAAAATCATCTTGAAGAATTCCACTCTCTATCCTGGTTGCAGATATCTACGCATTTTGATCGATTTTCTTTAAATGCTTCTTGTAGGAAACAGAACGATCGTCGATTGTTTCGATGGCATTTATCTGATTTCAATCGTCAATATTATTTTATCAATGAAAACAATATCGATTAAGATCTTTAATTGTATTGCAATTGGAAAAATGTTATCTTCATGAATTGGTCGATGAAGTCAAGATTTCTTACAACCAACGGCAAGAAGAAAAGAAGTCAATTTTGACAATCCTTACATATTGCAAAGATTGTTAACAAATTTCTATAATTAAAACGTAAATGAATATTGCCATTGGAAAAATATGTTACAACACAGAAAAAACCTTGTTTTTCAATAAATCATTCACATTAGTTGAAAATATTTCAGACATATTTTTTTATAAAATATTCAGTAAGAAATGTGATTGATTACATTCAAAAATAAGGAATAATCAATGAGAAATATTTAGAGTAATCTTCTAGGGCAATTGAATAAAGGATTTTGCAACATCTTAACATATCCGTGCTTTTTAATTAAGAATCAAGTCGACAGGCAAATGTCAGCAATGTTTTGTGGCCGGTACTCGTGCTTCAGTGTAGATATCTATAATGTTGACAATTATCGTCACAGCAGGCCAATGAGTCGATCAAAACACGACTGGCAAATCTTGAAATATTACCAACAATTGCGTCTGCTTGCAAGGAACTGTCATATTCGCCCTTATCTTTGCTTTTATTATTTCCGATGACAAACTTTTGTTAAAATCATGCAAACTTCTACGAACTAATCCATTCGAATCTAATTGAATTCCTACTATTAGTTCTCGATTATAATGAATAGGTAAATAAAAAAATAGTTTGCTAAGAGACACTGATGGATTTCTAATTTTACTACTTCAACTACAAGACTGTCACATATAATATGTTTGAAGGAATGAACGAAATAATTTTAAAAAACTGTTTACAAAAGATGTCGAAAAAATTTTAAATAACTTTTAAGTATAGAATATCTCATAGTAAAAAATTTGTTTTCAAGTGTTAACATTAACACCCTTGTAACATTCAGCAAACATTCCTCTATTGACAAGAAGGCGTTCGCAGGATAAAATGTCTTTTGATGAGGCAAACCTTTAACCAACGCTCACTGGCAAATCCACTAGGAGAAGTAGGACAACGAACTTTTTATTATCGTTTTGATAACACACAGCGAGTGTTTCTTTTTTCAACACCAATATCGATTTGTGTGAAGTTGGCTCAGTTCAAAAAAATATTAGCAATTTATTTCAAAAAGAAAATTATTTACAGAATCTCGATAACATCAGTTTTTATTTAAATTTCGTCTCTCGAAATAAGAAGTTTTCTATTTGATTACCTGAATAAAAAACGGATTTGTGCTGCACTAGTAATATTTACAAGAACGAAAAAAAAGATTATAATGCACTGAATAAATCAAATGGAAAGAGAACAAATATTTAAACTTGCAACACTCGAATCCAGGGGGTAAAATTCAACTGACTAGTAAGACTTCATCAGCTATGAAAGATTAAGAAACTCATGTTCGACATGTGTCGCCCTCTATGAAAAAATAACTCAAAAATCTGCATGAAATTATATATATATAATTTAATTGAAAAGGGTAAATTTTATAAAAACGATGCCATGTGAAATCAATTTTTTTCTCGCACTAATCGATCTGTTACCATGACACTTCATTGAAAGAATCAATATTATGAGATTAAATAGTAATAACTCTCGAGAACATCATATCATATCATATCAAAGAAGTTAAGTATGAGCAACGAACTAAAATATGTTCTTCTACCAAGAATTGAAGATCGTCGACGAACACCTAAATTTCAGCCATGGTATTTGTTTTTTATTTTATTTTATCTAATAATCAAAATTTGTATTTATCCTATTTTGATATCAAATCTGTACAGGCCTAGAAATAATTCAAAGTGAGAGGAATTATTCGATTAGCTGCTATTCATGCTTTCTCTTTGCTATTCTGTAATTATAACGATCAAAATGAAAAATATTTGAGATCTTTATCTAGGTATCGAGAACGCCTTAGAATGAAATATCCATGTAATATGGACACAAAAAATTGGAAGTTTGTCAAAGATGGTTTAGACGATTTTCGTGATGGTTTACCACCTCCACATGATGATATTATGTTACAAGTAAGTTTTCGTTTACTTTTTATCTATATCGATCCCATCTTTTATTTTTTTGATAGCCGGAAAAAGGACCAGGTCCCGTTGTACTCTCTCAAAATCGTCAAGTGAAAGCAAGCGTACGAGACATTCGAAGTAGTCTTACCGATCATCAAATATATCTTAGTCGTGAACTACCAACTGCTGAAAAACGTCGTCAATTAATAGATAGTTATATATCAGCTTTACTCGATCATCCTTTGGCTTTATTTCCACATTTCAATGAGACATTACCACCGGATGTAAGACAAACAAACTTGTCCGCTAAAAAAGAAAATGATTATTTACTTAGCTTTATGGAAAACTAACAAGACTGTTTGAAGCTGAATTGTTACGTGAAACTAATAGTGAACAGGATTTATTAGCCGATGAATGTCCAGAAATTTTAACAGCACGGTCGGATTTTGCTGTACTTCACGAAGAAGCGAATAATGGTGAAAGAAGTGTCAGTAGTGGTTCAAATGAATCCGATAATCAATCACAATCAGAAAAAACGGGAAGTAAACAAAGTTCGACACGACTAGGAAGAAGTACAATAGTATTCGATGAATCAGGAAACCCAATTGATTCTGGCGAACTTGAAAGAAAACAGAAAAATCCTTATCGATGGTTTATTGAACAACAACAAAAGAAACAAAAAGCTAAAGGACCAACAAAGGAAGAAGAAGCAACTTCGGCTATGGTAAGTTTCTCGGGAAAATGGGTCGTCTATTAATCAGTCATATGGATCGGTAGAAAGATTATATACTTATAGCGTCTCTTTATTGCTCTTCTGAAGGATTAGATAAAACAAGTATGACTTATAATAGGTTATAATATCTCAATTGCCATTAGTAAAAGCAGATCTATTGTGTTTTATATTTTAATCGCACAGAAATTTTATGCTGAGAGACTTTTTCTTTCATTAAAGGAAGCTCATCTGCGAAGTGCTTCGGAAGATTTTTGTAATTGGTTATATGCCTTTGGTGATGGAACAAATCTTGATGTCGATCCATCTGTTGTTCGAAATTTATTTTCGACTGCTTATGATACAAAACCACCGTTAAGCGTACCAATTAAAGTAGTCGAAATGACCAGAGTAGGTGTGATTCTAATTTTTTTCTTTGATTTAAACATTACGCATATTCATTTAGATTCCACCGGAACTACGAGAAGGTGCACAAGAATCAATGATGCCGACGACACGACATAGGAAAACAACATTTCCTGAATTGGTATTTTATTTTTAAAAATCAAATCTCTGCTTGTAATTGATTTCTGAGGCATAGATATTAACTATGAGCATGATGATTTAAGTTACGAAAATATGGATCGATTGCATTTTTGTGATTATTTAATCGTTTGGTTTTCTCAAGGATATGCATAATGAAATTGATAGACCGTTCGTAAATGAAAGACGACAAACCTGTCATATTCTTCAGATTGAATAAAATGAATCTGACAGTTATCTCTTAAAAAACTAATCGTACACAAGGACGATTCTTTTATTTATTCTTGTTTCGAGGGTCATTTATTTTGCCTTCTTATCGCGAGTACATAACTTCAAATGATTAAAATTTCATTGCTTAATGAAAAAGATTGTCAGAGTCTGTTATGGATCGGCTATGATTTGTTCGTTTCCATTAAAACACAAAAAAAAGAGAAGAATAAACAATTCATTTTTCGAATTGATGTAACATGGTTGGGAATAAGTGCTCTCTGTTCTTCCGTAGGTAAATAATTTCAAGGTCCATTCAATGTGTTACTAAGTATTTCAATTCGTTGTTTGATTTGAATTTAATAATAGAAGAAAAGTTTACTTTACATACAAATTCGAAGCACTTTAATTTCTTTTTTATTGAACAAAAATGTAAACCGAACTCGACTCTTTAAGCGTGTATGCACAAGAAATCATTTACATGATTCATTCTAGTACGATATTCGATACAAATTTTACAAGAACAGATACGACGGTAGTTTTTCATAGAAAAAAAAATATATATACAAAAATTTTCTTAGTAACCTAAATCAAGTGACTTTATTTTATTTTTAGCAAGTCAGCTCGAGTCTGCCAAGGTCGAAACGATTTTCTTCACAGCCTAGTCTTCGAGAATCGCAAGCAAGAAATAGTCGATATGGCGCATGGTATCTACCTAAAAATCTGTGGCAACATTCTTTAAAAACTGATGAACTGCAAGATCCAAAAGTACTTCAAGCTGAACGTGAAGATCCATTAAGAAAACGAGAAGAACAAATGGTAAAACATCTTGCTACAGTGAATATTTAACAAGAAAAATTCCTATTTAGAATTCTCGTTTGGCACCATTACACGGCATTGACGCTTTCAAAGAATATTTGGTTGAAAAAAATGTTCGCCGTTTACCAAAAGTAGTATCGAATCGATAGAGATGAATAAAAAGAACTTTTTTTTCTCTATTTTATAGTTGATAATTGATGTTGAACAATATCGTCTCGATAATCCACGTGACGTAGCCAATACAAGCAGTGAACTTCAACCAAAGAAAACATAATATGACTGAATAGATTTTTTTTTCTCTATTTTTTTTTCTTGTCTTTTGAAATCAAGTGTTTTTGACGGTGATTTTGAAATGATTTATGCAAATACATATATATTTTCTTTAGATTTTTCATAATGGAATATAGAACTGATTCTTATTCTGGTTTTAATGATTATAATCCTTTATTAGATACAGACGTGAGTTAAATTATACAATAGGAAATCAGACTTTGTATTGTCGCTACTATCTAAGGATTTGAAACATGACACTAATTTACAACAAGCAGTTCTAAAAACTAGTCATGGCCGACGAGCTCCAACAGTAATTTATCGTTCTATTTATTGTAGCAATAATTAAAAAAGAATTTTCTTTTTAGTCTACTCAAAAGGTACACAAATTGTTTTGAAGTTCCGATAGATTGATCGAGTTTTATTTCAGACAGGAATGTTTTCTAAATTAAAAAATGTATTTACCCGACCGAAGAACACAGCTGTACCCGTGCCATCGGCTAGGCTAGGAACTGCATCTCGTGCTGTACGACAAGAGAATAGTGTTGCGGGTGCTCGGCCTGGTTCAACTTTACACCGTCCTGTTACAGCGCAAAACCGACCATCGACAGCTATAAGAAGCGCTGGTTTTATAGCTGGATCTGGAGCGTTTGGCAGTTATACATCAGTACCAGAACCTATTCAATATGAAATGAAAGATGAAAGGTAATAAAATGAATGTTTTAATTCCATAAAATTTGCTCTTGTTTTTAAGTAATGAAGAAAAAGCACGTAAAATAGAAAGAACAATTTTCAATCTAGCCGAAGAAAGTTGTTTTGCATATGAAGAAAATAATATTAAATTAGTGAGAAATCATATTTTCTCGTTTATGTTTGCTATTGATTTTCTCGTTGTAGGCACTTGAAAAAGCAGAAGAAGCAATGAAACTTGACAAAACTCACGCTCGATATCGTGATGAACACAATATGAGCGAATCCAATGTGAATCTATCCGGATTTGTATGTACTGAATTTTGTCTATATTTTTAAAAAGAAATCAATAAAAGCGTCTGAAAGTCAGTGAAGGTAGAACGCAATGTCGATACTGGCAGATAGGGTTATTTTGAGACGTATTTCTTCGCGTAGTCAAGTCATTTAGGAATTTGACAGACATATAGTGTATAATTTATGACAAAAAGAAATATTCTTATGAGAACTAGAACATTAGTATGATTATTTCCGTGGCATGTCAAACGCTAGGAAGTCAATTTTGTTTATTGTGCAATGTGTTCGTGATATTTTCATAGTAATGTTTATCATCGGCGGCATGAATATTAAATTAACTCACAAGCTTCCCGCCAGCAAAATTAACTGTTGTCTAGGCGATTATATTTGTTTCAGAAGTTCAAAACAAAATGAAAATACTTCAGCGTACAGATTTAAACGAATCTCGTAGGATTAATTATTTGCAATCTATTTAGTTTCGATGAAAAAAAGGTGATTTAGCACATTCTCATCGATCTCTACGTCTATTATATTCTTAATTGATAAAAAAAAAGAATCTGATTTTTGAATGAAATTGCTTTGCTGTTATTAGACAATTGCCACTTCTTGTCTTTAGTAGACATAATTGACCTTCATTTTAGTTTAGTAATTACTGTTTCTTCTCTTTAGGTTATTCTTAATTGTGCAAATATGTCTGCAAAATGTGGCATGAAAGTAGAAGCGATGAATCTGTATAATCTAATACTTAAAAATAAACTATTACCTGTACATAGTCGAGTGTAAGCGAATAGATTGTAAAATATTTTCATCGTTGAATAAACTAATTTTCTCAGGCGAATAAATATTGGCAATGTTTTTGTAAGTTCAAAGCAATATGCAAACGCTCTAAAAATGTATCGAATGGCACTCGATCAGATATCTGAACAAAATGTTAATTTAAAGTATAAATAAATGGTCGTTGATTTCAATTTCAAAGTCGTTTTCTCTTTTTCAAAGAATGAACGTTCGACAAAATATTGCTGCGACACATATTCTAATGGGTCAATATGCTGAAGCAGCTCAAATGTATGAAATAGTAATGCAAGAACGACCGAATCATCGTTGCGGTTTGAATTTACTTCTATGCTATTATGCAATCGGTCAGCTTGATAAAGCACGACGGGCATTTACTGATTTACTTAAAATACCATTTCAAACTTCTGAAGACAACTATCCAGTTTCAGTAAGAACTATAAAAGCTGTTTCATTTATTTATTGTCTGATTTCTTCTGATCATTTAGTTGGGTAAAGAAGATAAACAAGTTAGTCTGGTTACCGAAGCTATACGAGATGATCGATACAAACAAATGGAACGCAAACGGTAAAGTAGAAGAAAATAAGTTTAGACTGCCTCTTCAAAAAACAAGTGCCGTTTTAAAGAGGACAAAACTCGCACCCCATCATCCTTATTTGGCTGAATGCAGAAGCTCCGATATTCAATGTGTTGTTTGTTTCTATTTAGACGTCATTTCGCCGAACACGTCATTGTAACAGCAGTTAAAATAATTGGTAATATTTCTGAACAAGATTCAATTAACGGTTATGAATGGTGTATTGAACAAGTACGAAATTCCACATATTTGGAATTAGCTAGTGGCCTTGAAATTCAAAAAGCAATTGCCTATTTACGTGAAGATAATTTTCCGAAGGTTAACAAAGAAGAAACAAACAGGGAATAGCATCAGTTGAAATAATATCGTTCTTTTCTTTTTAGGCTATTGCAATACTTAAGGAATTTGAAAAGGCTGAAGCAAAATTAGCCAGTGCAGGTTTGTAGACTAAAAATAAAGAGCCGCAAATCAAACACTCTAAATCACATTAACATGTATTGTTGTTATTTTTAGCTGCAACTAACCTATCATTTTTGCACTTTTTGGTATAACACTGTAGAAGATTTTATTATTTTATTCGTTTAATTTTTAGAAAAAAGACTTAAACAATGCACATAAATATGCCGATTTAGCGTTAAAATCCGATAAATTCAATCCAGCTTGTAAATGAATTAAAAATTGTGTGATGTTGTTTTCGATTTATCGCGTTCTCTTTTTTTAATCAGCTTTAACAAATAAAGGCAACTGCTGTTTTGTCCAGCATGATTATGAAAAAGCTCGATACTATTACGAAGAAGCGCTTAATATAGATGCGGGCTGTGTTCAAGCGCTCCATAATCTTAGTAAGAATATTTAATTAAACTATCCGTGCATATTTACTTAATTAATTCAATGAATATTTCCAGTTCTGACATTAATTCAATCAAAGCAATATCAACGTGTAAAAGATTTTCTTCATAAATATGCTACTATACAACCAGACAATAGTCAAGTAGCTTGTTTGATGGCTAAAGTATTACAAGAGACTCACGATTTTGATCAAGCTAAAAGTTGGTAAGTAATATTATGAATTAACTTTGTTTTTGTGATATCAATTTCAAGGTAAAGTTTCTTTTGTCAATATATCAAATTTTCTAGAATACGTCTGAGTTGTTTATCAGAGAGTTCGATTTGCAGATATTAGCAAACTGTTGACAACAAGTCCGCTTGTTGTAATGATCGAGTTCTCTGGTAGTGGAAGTATTGATGAAAACGAGAAATACACACTTTCTCTAATATTTGCAACTGGATCCGAAAATTGAGGACACAGAGAGAGAGAGAGAAGATTCTCAATTTGAAACTTTATTTTTATTTCTCATTGTGTTTCTAGACTAGAAGCGAGCAAACTATTAAAAATCCGAAGGACACAATGGTTCCTATATCATCTCTACAGATTTATAATCGGTTTACTGAAACCGTAACCATGCAAGCCGATGCGTAAATAGATCCACGTCTAACTTAAATTTTTTCTACGTGACATATTAAAATCCCCTGGATAACTCATATTTCACAGGAAGAAATAATCGAGGATGCCGTCATTTTTAAATTAAATAGGGAGTAGAAAAAACAGTTTTCAAGCTAAATCTTTCGGGCATTCTAGTTATATTTAGAACTATTTAGAAGAAGAACTTCAAGCTTACGTCTGATCTTTCGATCCTTATTAAAATACATACGACGCTGTAGGCTAAGATTTCAATAAATCTGCTATAAGTCTGTTGAAAAGAATTTAGAGTCACACACATCTGTTTACTAATTTTTTGGTACCTAGTTGAAATCTAATATATGCATAAAGCCTAGAGTAAAAAGAATCTTTAAGCAAAAAAATTTTTTTTCTGTTTGCACTCTAGCTACACATTTTCATATTTCTAACGTGCCCAAAACAAAGATAAAATAAATAGAATAATAAATATTTACTAACGCGGGGCTCCAATCTAAATTGGTATAGGTCAAATGTTGACTAATTTTTCAACAAAACACTTTCTATACAAATTACCATCGAACGTACGATGCCTTGTTTTTAATCATTGGTTAAGAATAGCAAACATTGCATCACTTACTAATTCTCAAGCTGTTCTTTTTCTATTCTGTATATCTGTTATCGTGACCCTGTTAGAAATGAAAATATGTTCGCATCTAGAATTTTTTAGTTTCTGCACGTTTGTCAAAGACAATCCAGGATCAACATTAGTCGAATAGCTTCTGTCTCGCATTTTATCAGTTTCAATTATTGTTACATTCATAGAATAGCGCCTGATTACACTTACTGAGTAGAATAAGTTTCGAAGATTCTTTAAAACTTCGCTTTTGTTTTAATACGAAAATGATAAACTAAAAAGCAAATTCCTCATGATTTTTGAAATGAGAAATATATTATTATCGATAAATTGTAATGGTGAACATTAAAAACCTTTTCTTCTGGAAATTTCTTTAGGTATTTACAGGCGTTAAGTGGCCATCGAACGGATGGATACTTACATCGGCGTCTAGGTGAATTAGTTGATTCTCAAGGTGATAAATCAGAGGCATTGCAATATTATTTTGATGTATATTGAATATTATCTAAATCGTAAAGTTCGATATTTTGATATTCTTTTTTGTTTCTCTATCGAAAGGCATACCGACATAGTCCATGCGATATTCAAACATTGGAATGGCTGGCATCTTATTACATTGAAAACCAATATCCAGAAAAGGCTATAGAATTTTGTATGCAAGCAGCCTTAGTGAAGTAAAAGAAACTTTCTTTATTGCTTGCTTTCTTTCTCTTACAACGACTGTAGAAAACTGTTCTGCATAAAAATAAGCTTTATTTAGACCGGAAGAAATCAAATGGAACTTAATGGTAGCATCATGCTATCGTCGTACTGGTAATTATGCGGCTGCATTAGACAAATATAAATGGACTCATCAACGTTTTCCCGACGATATTGACTGTAAGATTAAAAATAATATATCATTTTTTATCCACATATGGATGTAAATTCTTTCACTTCGTTTTTCTATTTATTGAAATGATGAAGAATGCTAAATATGAAGTAGGTATAAATTATATCGATTCGTTTGCATAGTTATTATTTTTCTTTACATTTCAGCTAATAATTTAGAATAAATGTCTTTAATTATCAAAGAAAAATAAATCTAGTGGCAGCTATATTGATGCGCGTTCGAGAGAAAAAAGGGGCGACTCATGTTTTGAAAAATTCATCACCTAACTCCGAAGATATTTTGAGACGCTAATAATTACATATTCTAGAAGGGTTCGCAGTTTGTTAACATCCTGTTTAGACTTGTTGTAGACTTTATTTATGCGTCAGCAAAATATATCGAGTGCATTTTAATACATGTCATTACTCAAGTCTTATAAATTAAATTCGACATTTTCATCACAATAAGATTTCCGAGTTATAAGTCAGTATAGGATTATCTTTATAAATTTAGCTATGTACTCAAATACAAATTCAACTAGTTGTTTTACTCTGTGGAACGCATTTATTGTAACAAGACAGTGCAATATAACTGAGAAATAGTCGACATGATAAAAAAAATAAATATTTTTAATTAATTTTTTCAGACGCGGCGCATGCGGATACGAATTCTCGAAATTAATTGCGAGAAAAGCAGTGTGTGCGTGTCTGAATCTTCTAATGAGTGTACCTTCATTACAGTCGATTTATTTTAGTACTGGATAAATATAGACTAAAGTAAAAATAGACAGCAAGATAGAAAAAAAGGTCGAATCTACTTCTAATATGTAACGATTTTCTACCGGACCGATAAATCTTTCGAAATGAAAGCCGCTAAAACTTATCTCAAATGATAGAATAAATAAATCTGTAACTTAGTTCCCATAGAAGTTGCATTTATAATAATCTAATCTTTGAAATTATCCGTTAGATTCGCACAAAGAAAAAAAGATAAAGAATAAAGTTTATGACTAAACGAATAATGATAAAAAGAAACTTTTTATCCTATATACATTGTCTAAGATAATTTTTTCTGTTGAAACTTATATAAAATATGAAAATCTAGTGTGTAACATGGACATTTTAATCAGAATTCAACACTCTCTCTGTTTTGCTTTAGGTATTCAATTTTTGATTAAAATTTGTATTGATCTTGGCTTGCCTGAACGAGAAGTGTATGAAAATGAATTGAAAAAAGTCACTAAAATGAAAGAAATCGAATTTCAAGTATAAAAATTCAAATGCATTTAAATACATAAAAGCAGGATTCGATTTTTTCCTTCTAATAGCGTAAAACCAGTGCAAGCAAAAGTCAAAATATTGTTAAAGGCCACAAGATCTCATCTGCTGAACGTGACGGTAGTCAAATAATTATTTAATACCGAATCGTTGTTTATTATTGATTTTTTTGCTAAATTTAAGTTGCTGCTAACACTCGTAATCAAACATTTGATGATCATCGCAAACGTACACCAATAAATTTAGATAACACTGAAGGAGTTTTTTCACAACAAGGTTTTTATTTTGTAATATTTTATTTTTATTATTGAGCATCTATTTATTCTCCTAGGGCCTATTACAATGCGTCCATATGTTGATCAACTGCCGCAACAGATTACATATGAACGACCCAAGACTGCGATTAGCAAAAAAGAAACGCACGGAATCGTGTTTGATGACAATGACAATGCAGCTGACCTCTTGCCAGACTAAAACTAATCATCCTTATTTGTTTGTTGTGCCATGTACTCTTTCTTTAATAAGAATAAAAAAAACCTGTAATAATGTCAATAGAAGTAAACTGCTGAATTATTTGAAAAGTCTTGTTTATTATGTAGTTTCTCTTCTCATATGGTTCGTAGCTGATCATGTTTTTTCCTTGTTGACTGCAGCGAAAGAGTGGTTAATGCGTCAAGAGAAAGGGCAAAGTGTGCCTGTTTTACGTTCCCCTTTTCTTGGTTTTGCAGAGAAAGAAAGAACGGCGCTTGTGTAAGAAGGAAAAAAGAAAAAAAGAAACGGGGGCGACGACCTTTTCTTTCTCTTTCATAAACGGCTACAGATATCATTCTGAGTAGAAAACAAATGTCAAAAAGAGAAATCTTTCTTGGTTTAATCAGTCCGAAGTTCTTTATTTTTAATAAAAAAAAAAAAAAACAACACACAAAAGATTTTTCATGCATATATGTGTATGAATGAAAATAATATTTCATGTCTTTAATTCAATGGAAAAGTTTGTTTTGCTAGCTAATGATTCCCTCTGAGCATATTGAAATAAAAAATTGAGCTTCAAACTAAATCGTATATAATTATGCTAGTGCGTACTCTGAACTTATTTAGATGATAAAAAGTTGGGGGGATGCCTGGTTATTTGTGAGGCTGCCCTGGAAAAGTACTTATTTTTTTACTCCACATAGGATATGTGTATTTTTCTTCTTTTTTTTTCTTTTTACTGTGCTCTCTCTCTCTCTCTCTCTCTCTCTGTGTCTCATTTTTCCTTTCTGTGCGCGTCAAAACAGTTCCTTTTTCGTTGTCTGTCAAGTCGACATAATCATTCATCAATTAGAATAGAAGAATATATTGAGTTTTTTATAGCAGAATGCATAATTTTAGTTACGGTATTATAGAAACCATTCTTGTTTTTTCACCTGAAATAAAATAATGAGTAAGAAGACCTTTGAAAGTCGGCTGATTACGAGTTTACCTAACTATACAGAACTTGTTTATTACTCATAAACGATTGTTTTAATCGAGCGTTAGTCTGAAATTCTATTGAACATTTCTAATTTTCTTTCTAGTTTAATCAAAATCGATTTATAAAATAACTAGGAAAATGTACGCTGCGGCCTCTCACGTTGGCTTATTACCGTCCACTAAAAATATGAATTTATTTCAAACGTGGAATTATTATAATGATTATTATCCAGGCGACAGCTCAGCTCATCATTCGAATCCTTTTTCAATACAAAAACCGAACGATAACGAAGGTAGCCTGGAAAAATTTCATCACGACTCATTAATTATATTAGAAACTGGTGAAAAGAAAAATATTCAACAATTGACAACACATGATTTTATCACAAGTGCGAAGCAAAATCAACAATACTCAAGGTAAAAAATAATATACGAAACGCAAATAAAAGACGGCCGAGAAATATATGTTGTCATAACCAAACTACATAAATCTGTTATGCTTTTCATATACATATATATATATATATATCTTTTTAGTCTTCTGGCACGCGTTGGATATATTGGTTCTATTGATAAAATCACCGGTAAAGTTGAATTACGTTTTTATGTTAATGGTGTTGAAAAGCCGGTGAGTCATTTTTTTGTCTTTAACAAAAAGCAACACTCGAACAATTCGATTTTCTTCTGTTCTATTTAGGTATCATATTATGTTTCACAAGAGATGCCATTTTTTGTTCATCAATATTCATGTTGGTCATCGATATCACCAAAACAAACCTATTCTACAACCGGTTTAACTTGTCGTCAATTAGAATGTGGTGATTTAATCATAGCCATCATCTCCAACAAAAACAAGCAAGCAAAGATCAATAGTAGCAGCAGTATTAGTATTAGTAGTAGTAGTAGTAGTAGTAGTATGAAACCCAATTATAGTCAACAATCACCAACAAAATGTTTAGTTGAAAGATATATGAATGAAAAAATATCGTCATCATCGATGGACAATGTTATCCCAAAAAGCAAACGATTTAAAATCTGTAATGAATGAACGAGCGCAGACATATTTTTCTCTTTAATTAAATTGATGTCTTCTTCGCTCGTTATTAACGCCTCGGACGCGTCTAAATGTCCTCGATAGAGTTTGCTTGAACGCACACATACATAAAGAGAAATATAGGTTACTTTGTTCTTGTTCCCCCCCCCCTCCCTACTTTGCATAAATAATAGTAAATGAGTTTTACTTGGTATTGTGTTTGCATTAATTTCTATATAGCAGACCGAGCTTTGCACGAGGAGTTCATAGTTTGGTTTTGTTGCAATATTTCTTTTCCTCTCTTTTGTTTGTATTGTCAGTAGTGTGTGATTGTTCTTCTCGCTTTTTATTTTTTGATGGATTTTATGTTATAGGTCAAATTCATTTTTTCTTCTTCTGAGGAGGATGATGATGATGCTATTATTTATCGTATCTAGATTTAAATGAGTGTGTAGTTTGCAGTTGTTCAGCATATTTCAAAGAGAAAAGTTCTGTTTTTATTTTCCAAGAAAGTAATTTCTTTGTGTTTGCATGTTGTTATTCGTAGGAAACATTCTTGTGTATTCTATATTAATAGAAGAATATTGCCTAATAAATATTTTTTGTTGATTTCATTTATCTACATCATACAAAACTATTTAATAAGCATAGGATTACCGAGTTGGAATTAAATATAGAAAAATGATGTTGCAGAGGTTAATTATTTGAATAGGTGATTTAAGATTTTAACCAGCTTCTGTTTTTGAAGCGTTTTTTTCCGATGTTTTTGTTTGATAGATATACATGTAACAGTAACTTTACGTTGAAGATGATTAAAATGGGGAAGTTTTTCTACATCATAGAAAATCTTCAAGGTCAAATGTTGTTCATAAAAAGAGAAAATATTGACAAAGAGAAGTGGGCAGATTGAAATATTTATGTTTTTCTCTGATTTGTTTTTGTCCTGAAAATTCTCATAAACGAAATGCCGAGTCTTTCGTTTTTATTTGCCAATATAATGTATATTTTGGTCCGATGAGACTAGCAGAAACACGTAGAGATTTACTTTTATGATCTCTCATTGTCAGGTTGTCATGAACTCGGCGAATTTGTTTTTTTTAATTTTCAGTGAGATGTTAATAAACTAGTGGAAGTAGAGAATTTCAAAATGAAATTAAACATAAATAAATGTGTCGTTTCTGTTATATCGAATGTCAATAACACGTGGCTGAACTATAAAGATATTGTAAGATTTACAAGATTCACTTGTAGGTCGATGGTTCGTTTAAAAATCGGCTGCTCCTTCAAATAGCTTTGCAAAGATAATAATTCAGTAAGCTTGGAATTACTTCGAAAGATCAGTCCATGGACACAAAATTTCCATACAATCCTCCTACTAGTCCCATTAGAATCCATTTAACGGTACAACTTCGTTTAGATTGCGTGTATGTTAAAACAGACGGTAAAGGAAACTTTCCAAATCATTGCTAGATAAGAAAGTAATTTCTACAAGAACTTTCATTCGTTCTTTTGTCCATAAGCACATGCAATAATTTCTTTGGAAGCCTCGATATTTTCTCTGGAGTTTATTTATGAGAAATCAATAATGCCGGAAGTTTTCTGGAAATGACTTTTTCTATTTTAGTAATTTCGGAAATGTGTAGGCTAGAAAATTGCAATATTGTTGTGCTTCATTGTCGTAGAATTTAATTTATCCAGGATGCACCTGAACTCGAATAATTAACTATTTTCCGAAAGAGACCAATTAGGAACAATGTCGTTCAAGGCGAGCTCAGCCGAGAAAAAGAACCCAATTTCTTTGCATACCAGCAGCGTAGTAGATAATTGTGCTTGTCAATATAGCAAAACTCTCGTTTTCCTACTTGCCAAAATGTCTATAATTATACCTACTTAAAACACCATCATAATATCATATATTATCATTTTTTCAACGATCCCTATAATTTTTGTAACCTTTGAACGTTTTTTCCTTGGTGTTCTTTTGAATACTTTGAATGGTAAAAGATTGTCTTACAGGTATTCATGGATAAATGAAAGACAAAAATAGAATACAAGCTTTTACCGAGATGTTGGTTGCTTTTTGATTGGTAATTCATTTCTAATAGAAAGTTTTTTTCTTTTTCATTAGTAGATTTATTTTTAAACAAACAATAGCGCTTTACAACGAGTAATCTTGAATGAATGAAAGAATTAAAAGAAAAAGAAAAATATTGCTTTTCATGTAAATCCTGAAAACTGAAGGATTATTCTAAAAATCTCATTCTGCATCTTATCAGTAAACGTAGAGGAGGAGACATGCAACTAATTATTAATGCTGTCACAGCAAACACTATTTTCCTTTTGGTACATATGAATTTTATTTTATAATTTCAAGAAATGAACGTGTCGTAGAAAACATCAACTATGACATTTTCTGGGTTTTACAAGGAAGATAAGAAATTCTATTCAATTAAATACTTGGGCAGAGCTCTATAAATACAAAGATCGATGGTTATGCTATTTTAATTCAATATTTCAACGAACAAACTACATGCAACAAATTTTTGTTATTTCAGATATCTTTGAAAGTTTCACAACCCTACTTTTGAATAGAATGATTTTAGTGGCTATAAATTGAATTGTCGAAATAGAATAGAAAATACCCGAATCTTATTTATAATCTACCCCCTCCCCTCTACAGAATAGAAGCCCATGGGTGGTGTCTCTGTTCCGCAAGCTATAATTTTGTAACAAAACATGCGCTGATGCCAGTTTTTGCGTTATTTGATAGAGAAATGTTTATCCTTTCCTTTTTGCATGAAGTAAATTCTGATTTTCAACGGAAAAATCTAACCCACAGGGTGGACTTCTATTCTGTGTAGGAGTTTAGTAATCTAATGGGTTAAATCTGTGCCATCAACTTCAATTAGACATTATTTTTTTCTTTGATGATTATTTTTTTCACATGAGATCAAAGTATGAGAGAAAAGTTTGAAGTTTTAGCAGATAGAACACTGCCAAGTTAACAAATCGACAATAATTTCTATCAAATATGCACCGTTTCTCATGGTTAATTTTGAAAGCAGGAAATGTATGCTTGAGAATATATAATAGAGTGTTGTTGCTATTAATGAATGAGGTCGTAGCGTTGAGTTACAATTTCTACTTTCTATTCAGGAATATATTATTATCTTTTTGTTTATGGATCAATGACTAGTGTGCGTCGTTTTGTAACTGATAGTTATCGTGTCATGCTATATCGGGGTTTTCGGCAAGTTCTTCGAACTAATTTTTGAAATTTGTTAAAAATATTCGCATACAAAAATAAGAGTTCTTCTTTCTAAATACTAATTTCTGTTCTATGCGCATTTCTGAAAAAGGCGCTCCAGATTAAAATAATAATTATATCCTGCAGCTGTTCTATTTCTGTCTCACTGGCTTTGTTTCTATTTTGTAAATGCAGCCTTGTTTTCAATCAATTATTTTCGTCATATTAGAACAGGAAAAAGTAGTCACGCCATGATAGGCCTAAGAAATGTAGCTCTCATTTGACTCTTAAACTCCATCGAGTCGTTTGTTTGTATACACCAAAACAAAAAGTTCTGTGCAAATAAAATCAGTTGTTACCGGCAATTAATTTTTTTATTTATCGTTAACAACAGAAAATCAGAGAGTATTATAAACTTGTTCAGTGTGATTATATAAACGAACAATAAAAAATAATGCTGTTCGATTTGTTCATCATCGTCAACGATCATTCTTAATGCGATTCTGTACTTGGCTAGATAAAGAATTCAAATAAGATAATAACTTTTTCAATAAAAAGCAATCAATCTTACTTTTACATCTCGTAATAATCTTCGGCATGCGTAGCAAACATGAACTGAATCAGTACTATGGAAAAATTTTAATCAAAACAATGAAAAACAAGCAAATTTATAGGTATCAAATACCTATTAGAGAATGTATCGAACAGTTGATGAACAAGTTTTATTCTGTCTTGATCGGATAATAATGATTGATCTTCTTCGAGATCAAGTGGATAACAACATAAATCGCATCGGTCAGGTTTTATAGTTTTTTCAAGTTTATCAGATGTTCTAAAATGAAGAAAAGACAAAATTCTCCATACCGCAAGCATATTCTTTTTTCTCGTAGCAGAAAGGTCTTATTTACTACGAGAAATCACTGCGAAGGAGTTTTGTATAAATATCTCGATCACTGATATAATATTAACAGTGAGAATCGACGAATACTCGTTGAGTTTGGTTCACTATGAAGTCGTGTCATACAGTTCGTGAAATCTCATTGTACTCTTCCTCACAGATAAGATCAACATTTCGTTTTATCAATGCGCAGGAAGAAAAATCAATATGACCTCAGATGATAAATTATTTTTCTGGAAAAATATGTTCCTTTCTGTTTTATTTATTGACAGTAAACAAAAGTGAGCTCCTTACTCTGACTTGAACTAACAAGAGGAACAAATACTTTTACAGCATTAGGTAAATTATAGGTTATAAATAACCTAACCCCTAGTTAAATCATCAGCAAATATAACGGGTGGGCCATAAATAATGATGGTCTCCGTATTTCGTAAATATCTCATGAAGCTTTTATCCCTTAGACTTCGTGTTTCTTTAGAAAGATTCCTCATTCAATTCTCTACAAAAAGATA